ACCTCTATTACCATCCCACAGTAATTGAAGATATTCTATTAGCCCTAATTCTGTATTTAAGATGACTATTTTCAGCACAATCTGAACACAGTAACAGAGGTAAATGAGGTCCTCCCAAAACAGAATTTTGTCATATCACTCTCCTTTAAAGTGCCCTCAGAAGTATCTTGTTTTCTATAGGTCTCATCCTGAAGTCTCATCCCTGCCATAGGATGCTATCTATCTGCCTAATGTTGTGTCCTTTGAGTCCCTTTTGTGTTCTCTCTGCCTCAAAGCATTTGTTTCAAAGTCAGTCACACAAGGCATCCTTGACTGTGTCTTAACATGTGTTACTTCTTTTATTCTGAAAAACCCTTTTTTCTGTTTGTCAAAATTCTTCTAATTCTTCAAGATGGATTTGAGCTCCTCTATTTCCTATACTTCTTGATAAGATATAGGCCAGAGAGGAGTATATGTGTATGGTTTTAATGTAAATACAGTTTACCTCCTCAACTAAATTATAATCCCTTAGCTACAAGAGGCCCTGTAATAAACTTCTTAGCATTCCTCATGAGGTCTTTCGTGGCGATTTGCCTTCATTAGATGTATTTGTTAATGTTTGATTTGGGGCTGGGGGAGTGAAGCAAGGATCCGGTACAGCAGCAAAAATATTTGTGATCGAATTGTCATACTGTTTGCTCCTTTTTATCTGCTGTTTTAGTTATGTACATCTAAGTGGCGTAAGCAAACAATACAAATTGGGGTTTGGAAATGGGAATAAGGCTGCAGCCCTGTAGTTTTCCACTAGTTGCCAGGATATAGAAAGGTCTGTATTGTTTTTATTCTTCTGCTAGACAGTGTGGTTGTTTTGGTCTTCAATTTCCACGTATTCTTTTATATTAATGTATCAATTTTTATTTTGAAGCACTACATTTTAATCAATTAGTTACAGCCATTTAAATGTAACTATTTACTAAGAGGTACTAAGGTATTTATTGAAATAATTTTAAAAGGCAAGAACCAACATCTGCAGGGCATCTATACATCTGATACTGTGCTACGTATTTAACATTATTTTATTTCATTCTTAAATAATTCAGTGTTACAAGTTCTCTTCCTGTTTTACAAGTTCTCTTCCTGTTTTACGGTGAGAAATTGCCTAAGGGTACCCAGTGAGTGATAGAACTTATATTCGAAATCTAAGTCTGTCTAGTTGTGCCAGAACATTGTTTGCCAATCATGAGAGATTTTTAGAGAGCAGAATGGAGAGTCACCGCTAAATAGAAGACGCTTAATTGTGTAAACTAAAAGCATCTTTTGGAGTTGTGATTTTGTTATTTTTCCCACTGTGATTTTCAGTTCCGTTTTTTGCCTGTTATCCAAATTCATACTTATGCAGCCATCTTTTAAGTTGTTCACTTATTAGAATGAACAGAAATGTTGTAGGCTAACACAACTGAAAGAAAGAGTTGGTTGATCCTGTAATGTTTTTGGAGGAGAAATTTAAATTTTATTTCATTTCATTTCATTTTTTAATGTTTATTTATTTTTGAGAGAGAGGGAGAGAGAGCATGAGCAGTGGAGGGGCAGAGAGAGAGGGAGACACAGAATCTGAAACGGGCTCCAGGCTCTGAGCTGTCAGCAACGAGCCTGACACTGGTTGAACTCACAAACCCCTGAACCATCGTGAATCATGACCTGAGCCGAAGTTGGATGCTAACCAACTGAGCCAGCCAGGTGCCCGTAAATTTTATTTTTATGAAGAAGTTCGATATTAGGCATTTAGTGTGTGCCTTTAGATGAGGAAACAAATCTTAACAGGAAGGTCAGTATTTGGGCATAGTACAGCAAAATTAGTGTTAGTTTATTAAATGTAAGATAATGCAGAGTAATTGATTTAAGATCATACTGAAACTAGAAGAAAATCAAGTCAGACATTTTAATATACCAGAAGCTGGTGAGGAAGTAGTATTTTAGGGTGGTACAGTGCATACTATTTAGCACTGTGTGTTGGAAATTCTTCAATTGGATGGTGAACTCCCCCTAACAAGAGAACATAAGTTCACTATTAAGTATATGACATTTTAGATGACGTAGTGGTACATTTTCCAGGAGATGCAGTTGGAAATACTGCAGTAGAAACTGATGAGACCTTAGACTAGAACTTTACATATTTATTTTTTGTGTATTTATTTTTACATAAGATAACAGAAGCTGCAAGATTTGATGGTCTTTAAAAGGTGATTTACAGAGGAGAACTCAGGAAACCTTGGAAAATATCCAACCAGGTCTGAAAAAGGAAGGGAGAACCAGTAAAAATGAAGAGATAAAAAGCCTTTCTGACTATAGAAAAAGGGAAAAGGTCATATTGTGCCATGAAAATCCAGTGCATAGTTTCAGTGGGTGGTTAAGAGTATCAAATTAAAAAAAAAAGGCAAAAGAGCACAGGAACTGAGGAAAGCAAGGAGGTAGTCACTGACCATTTTCAGTAGACTTATTTCATCTGAGTCAGAGATTGGAAGTCAGCAGAGTGAGGGAATGAATCTTAAGAGATGGAGGCAGCTGTTACAGATCATATTCAAAGAATGTGGCAGTAAAAACAGAATCATTCAACTTTTGAACAGTGTCTTTCTAAGTTGGAAGAAATTGTGTTGTGATAAAGGCAGAAAAAAAGGACCCTATGAAGAGGGAGATATTGAAGATATCTAGGAAATAGTACTAAAAGGAATTTCTCATGAAAGGGTAGAAGAAGATGCTAGAGTCAAGAGATAATCTCTGGAGGAGAGTACCTCTGGATGGAGGTAAAATAAAAGTACAGAGTTTTAAAAAATAAACTTTCCCTACCTAGAATAAAGATGTTTCTGTTACACATCTTACAAAGGAAAGATTTTTCTCTCCGATCACAGTTTCCAATAATACAGGGGGGCCAGAAATTCTTTCTTGGAGCTCTGCTTTTAGGGAGGGTTCAGGAATGTATCCATTCTCCAAAAGTAGGGAGTAGTGTGGATTTTTTTCTTACATGGATTTAAATTTTTTACATGGATTTAAAATTTGGGCAAGAATACCTTTCATTCAAATGGCTAAACTGTAGAATCTGAGGAAAATGTTAAATTTTCATTTCCATTTTTAGGAAGGTTTCTTGAGTGAGTGTCTTAGGAAACCTATCTCTTTTTAAAAATTATTTAACAAATATTTATTGAGTTCTTTGTCAGACTCTTTAACAGTAGATGTGGCAGGCACGTAAATGGATGAATTAGGTTCCTGCTAGTCTAGAAAGAGGTCACATTCTAGTTAGATACGTAAACAAATTATTGACCCTTTTTCTCTACTCAGTCCTTTTGCTCTTAAACACCAAAGTAATCTTAAGATATAAATATCATAAAGCATATCCAGGAATGATCTGTTGCAAGAAAATATGAATGTAAAAAGTCGAGTCATGTCTCAAATTAAGGAGAAATTATTAACTTTAAGCAGTGTTTAATGTAGGAATTAGGATAGTATTCTTTTAAACTATGTTTTTTGGGGCTCCTGGGTGGATCAGTTGGGTGAGCATCTGACTTCGGCTCGAGTCATGATCTCATGGTTCGTGAATTCGAGCCCCACATCAGGCTCTGTGCCGGCAGCTCGGAGCCTGGAGCCTGCTTCAGATTCTATGTCTCCCTCTCTCTGTCCTCCTCCCCCGCTTGCACTCTGTGCCTCTCTTTCTCTCAAAAATAAATATAAAAGAAATAAACTATGTTTTAAAAAAAACTTTTTAAACAAAGATTAAATAAAGATTTAAACATATAAATGAAATATTTATTGATATTTGCCCATGAAAATGCAAGGATATAGCACAGTTTTGCTTACTCAATTTTTTAAGTACTTTGTTTTCAAGGTTTGGCTGTTCTTGGAAGGTTAGCAAGAGTTTTTAAGTTTTAGAGAGGAGAGATAAAGATAACATCTGGTTGTCATTCCATTTAGGCAATCACAGTATTGACTTATATGGACTATTTCCTACTAATTTTATGGATAAAAAAATTAATTCTTGCATAAATCATAATACTGTTTGTAGGAGGGTAGGGAAGATACTGTTTGCATGTATGTACATGATTTTAGTACCAGAATAACATTTCTGAAGTCCAGTTTGCCTGGCACACAGGCCACTTAATGGTAGAAATGGTTTCAGTTGGGGACTTCCAAGTTTTTGCTTTAGAAGACTGACTCCATCTTTCAGAACAGAAGATGAGTACATGTTGCTGGAATGTCAGGGACAGAAAAGATGCCTTTGCCACTTGTACAGAAATTGTTGAGTTTATGAGAGTTTCAGAATGAATTTAATAATGTTGCTAAATGGGGTAGTTGGAGACAGTAGGTACATCCCAGTTCCTGGAAACTTAGTTGCAGAGAGTGTTGTAAACTCCAGATACATTTATAATTATAATCTTAAGAGACTGAGAGATGTTCTGAGAGCCCTTTTATCTTGGGCTTTCAAAAAATTTTCAAACAAAACCATAAAAGAAAAAAGTATAATAAGTGGAAGGAGTCCTAAACAAGACATTTTGTTTTCAGCTGTGTGATCTTCTGTGAATCTCTGTTTCATTATAGATGTAAAACAGACAAAACTCTCAGGAAAAATAAAGTATGTTATTAAACAAAATATATAATAAAATCATGTGTATGAAGGTACATTATAATGTAAAAACAAATGTAAAAGCAAATTTAAGGTAATGATATTGTATTTTTAATTTTTTAAAGGCACTTAATAAAAGAGATACATACTAAGGCTAATATTGCCAGAATTTTTAGAAGGAAGAGTAATAAGAGATAGAGAAATAGAGGGAAAATATGAGCTTATACTGAGTATTTTAAATCATTCTTGTTACATTAGCATGTTGTTATTTTGTGAAAACATTATAATAAAAATAACTAAGATGACTCTTTTCAGTTTTGATACAACAGGCAGTTGGATTTGTCATTTTATATACATTCGAAGAATAAGTACACATCTTTTCCTCTTGTCTTTAAACTTAAACTTGAAGGTTATGAATATTGATGGCACTGGGAGACGAGTACTGGTGGAAGACAAAATTCCTCACATATTTGGGTTTACTCTGTTGGGTGACTATGTTTACTGGACTGACTGGCAGAGGCGTAGCATCGAAAGAGTACACAAACGAAGTGCAGAGAGGGAGATCATCATAGATCAACTTCCTGATCTCATGGGCCTAAAGGCCACAAATGTTCATCGAATCATTGGTAAGTAATTAAAAAATTCCTTCAAAGATGGACGCCAAGAATGAGACAAGTTAGAGATAGTGGTTTATCAAGCAGCAGTGTAAATTTTTGGTGTTTTGAGGGAATATAGAAATTATCTGTTAATTTTTTTTTTTTTTTTTTTTTTTTAGCAAGAAATGGGCCTTTTGAATGTTGGCTTAGTACTCTGGCTACATAGTTTGACTTGAAGGGCTAAATATATACACACACACATGCACACACACCTGCTTCATTAAAAGAATTCTGTCCTATTGTATGAATAATGTAGCTTATTTTAAAGCTTACTGTGGGTACAAAGGAAAGTATTTGCATACCTTTATTTCCAGTTGATTAGCAGGGGGTTTTGACCTGTCCCGTTTCTGACTTGGGCCAGTGCACAGTCCTTAGATAGTCTAGTGGTATCTATCTAAACAGCCCCAGGAGGGCACCACATTGAAGCTAACTTAGTGTGGAGGGCTGGCCTAGCAAAGTGCATGCACTACAATGCAGAACTCCTGGGCTCAAGCATTCCCCCTGCCTCAGCCTCCTGAGTAGGTGGGAATACAGGCCTGCATCACTGCCCCTGGCTTTTTATTCCCTATTAATCTTCATGGTATTTATGACATTAGGATTGAAACTATATTTTGGAGCAGATAGAATCATAGGTCTTTGTGAACCATATGCCTAGTCGTTTTAAGTGAAAATATGTTGATTGTGTCAATGTGTGTGTCTTTCTGTATCCTTTTATAATTAACATATTTTTTAGGTTCCAACCCTTGTGCAGAGGAAAATGGGGGATGTAGCCATCTTTGCCTATATAGGCCTCAAGGCCTTCGTTGTGCCTGCCCCATTGGCTTTGAACTCATCAGTGACATGAAGACTTGCATTGTCCCAGAGGCTTTCCTTTTGTTTTCACGGAGAGCAGATATCAGGCGAATTTCTTTGGAAACTAACAATAATAACGTGGCCATTCCTCTCACTGGTGTCAAAGAAGCTTCTGCTTTGGATTTTGATGTGACAGACAACCGAATTTACTGGACCGATATATCACTCAAGGTTAGCTTAAAAGAATTGAAATGTTAAAACCAAAGACTAAAAGGGAGAGGTTCTAAAATTTGAGTCTTCATGCTGTGATCACTCTCCCTTGTTGTTTAATAGGCAGAATTCAACAAAAGCCCTTAACTTTTTAAAGGAAGGAGGAGGTCCATTCTGTATTTAATTAAGTGCTTTTTTAAAATACAGGATACTTTGCTTGAGTGTTCTAAATCTGCAAGACATAATCTACCTCTGCTTTATTCCATTTGAGAATAATGAGTGACATTTTCTGCAAAGAGTAAGCAGTTGAAGTCCCATCTAAATGAGTTATAGAGACTTGACTTACTTTAAACACAATTCTGTAGTCTGGCTGAGGTAGAAAATGCCAATTATGAGTTAGAATATACCTTTATTTTCTTTTTCCTAAAATAAATATTGAAAAGCACTACTAAGTCAATAAGAGGGAGGAGCTCCTGAACAGAAAATCTGGAGAATAATCTTTCCTTCTTCTAGATTGTTTTGGGCCTATTTCATATAATTTGTGTAAAATTTGTTTAATATGCAAAAATCACGGGGTATTGGAGCCAGAATTGGATTCTAATGGTGTTCAATAAAATCTTTAACTTGAATGAATGAATAAATGAAGTAAAATAAGTATATTTTGGCTTGTATTGTATGGCCTTCTAAGTTTTCCTCATCTTGAAAGTAGAGATAATACCTATCTTGCAGGGCTGTTTTGAAGATTAAATGAGAAAATATGTGTACACAAGGTACTTAAGGTAGTGCTTGCCAAGAAGTAGCAGCCATTATTAATGGCTTGAATAATGGCTTGAAATTTTGGGAACTCAGAGCTGCAGTGGTAATAATCTGATAATGGTTATTTACATTTTATGATGTATAAGGTTGTTGCGATCTTTGCAGATTGACACAATGACATGGCATACTCTCAGGAACCTTTAGGAAGTTGACTACCAGTTACAAGTCTACAGCATTCTGGCCATATTTTTTTCACTTGATTACTAATAGATTTTAAAAGCAAAGTCATTCCACTGTCTTACTTGAGTAAATTTTTGGTCCTTAATAATTAAAAAAATTTCTCCTCGGCTTGATACTAAAACTTGAGGTCACAGTTGCATTTATTAGAGATTGACATCCGGCTTTTTCTGTGCTTGTAAAATACATGAATTGTATTAAGAAACTATGCGTCTGGATCCTCGCACCCAATGAAAACTAGAACTCTTCTTTCTGGGTAGTGTTTTATACTTAAGCCATGTGATTTTGTTGTTAATCTCATTCTTGCAGACCATCAGCAGAGCCTTCATGAATGGCAGTGCACTGGAACACGTGGTGGAATTTGGCTTAGATTATCCAGAAGGCATGGCAGTAGACTGGCTTGGGAAGAACTTGTACTGGGCAGACACAGGAACGAATCGAATTGAGGTGTCAAAGTTGGATGGGCAGCACCGACAAGTTTTGGTTTGGAAAGACCTAGATAGTCCCAGAGCTCTTGCACTGGACCCTGCTGAAGGGTAAACAGCTTTTATGTATGCATTCTTTGCAACTGTGTTGCCCATAGCCTCGTTATGGATTGTATTTTTGATGTCTTAAATAATGCTTACTAGGAATCTGGTAACTAAACCGTAGGTAGGCTTTATTTTAAAACCCATTAGTTGAGATTTCACTGATTTAGAACTAATTATTAGCTATATTTTACTTTTGCCATTATTAACATTAGGTAAAGGAAGATTGGTGAGATGGACTAGTAATTAAATATTACCGATCCCATTTGTATGCTAATCAACAGCCTTTTTAAAGGTATCGTTTGCATTTTGTTTTACCCTCTCTGAAGTTAAATCAGATCTAAAACCCACTGAAATAATGCCGTGTACTAAGAAATAGCTGCATTTTAAAAAGTTCCATTTTAGAATATTCATCAGTTCAAAGTGGACAATTAGTTTGATCATTGTTAAAAGCTTAGAGAAACTTTGATATGAGATGGTAAACTGTTTTCGATTAAAAAAACATTTATTTACAACATGACGTTTTTCAAAGGTAGGTGATCGTCTTACATGATGTAGCAAGTTTTAAAAAGCCAACAGCTAAGAAATCTGAAATTTGAAGAATAATTCTACTTTTAAAAGCAGAAGTTTGGGCGCCTGGGTGGCTCAGTCGGTTGAGCATCCGACTTCAGCTCAGGTCATGATCTCGCAGTCCATGAGTTCGAGCCCCGCATTGGGCTCTGTGCAGACAGCTCAGAGCCTGGAGCCTGTTTCAGATTCTGTGTCTCCCTCTCTCTCTGACCCTCCCCCATTCATGCTCTGTCTCTCTCTGTCTCAAAAAAATAAACGTTTAAAAAAAAAAAAGCAGAAGTTAACAGTGTGAACATACAAACATATTTACCATACCTGTAATTAAAAATAGATCCTTGAAATCACATTAATTCCATTATTACCTAGTCTCCATCTCGTTAGAAGGCCAGAGCAAAGACAGCTTCTCTGTGCTGACATGTTGTGGTTGGATTACGGTGATCTTAACTCTATGTTACCACACAGATAAATTTAATAATTGAGACTAAGGACTCCACAGTTTATTTGGCTGCTAGCAACTGTGACATTTGTCTCACAGTTGTTTTTGCTTCTTGTGTGCACGTGCCTGTCAGCTGACAAGTACAAATGCAAACAAAGCCCAAGATTAACTTTAATTTTCAGAAAAGCACGTTCATGCATTGCTACTAAGTCAACCATCAGCTGAGACTGATGAGTAAATGTCTGTCCTCAGGTATTTGATGAGAGTTGGCATGTGGAGTGCTTTTCTAGTTCCAGTATTCAGAATGTTTCAAAACTAGCACCTTACTAGTTTAGTTGAAAAAGTACTTAGCTAGGGATTAGGTTCTAGTTCTAGCCCTGCCATGTGATGGGAGTTGAAGAAATTAGATCATTCACATTTCTTTTATTGCTTTGGCCTCTTTACATCTATAAAGAGCCTATACTGTGGGGCTGCTCTGAGGTTAATGTGAAAAACTTGGAAAAAGAATATAAAAGCAAGAAAGTATTCTAAAATTTTACAGGGATTATAGCAGTAGTGTTCAGTGCCCAGCCAACACAGTAAGAGGTGAGTCACTGCTCATACACACATAGTATGTTCCCTTGGACTGCACGACCAAATACATTTCAAACTTTGCTTTTTAGTTCCATTTAAAGACTATTAATTTTTACCTTTGATATACTCCTGCAACTTGTTTTTGGGGAGAGTTGATTATACAAGTTGAAAAATAAGTCTAAAAATTTAAACCTCAAATTACTTGTGTTCAGAAATATGTAAAGATACAAAAATATTTTATGCAGAAGTGAATCAGATTCTGAGCCCAGAACTTTAATTTTTTGGTATCTTCTTGAATATAGTTGCATAAATACAAGTGCTGCAGTATGGATATCATTAGTTTGTTTCCAGTTTCTGGGTTTTGGATGGAACATATTCATTGGAAAGACTAAAGAAAGCTGACTCACTTCCTTTTTAGGATATGAGAAAAAATATTTAGGTGAGGGTGCCAAAATAATTGAAAAAATGATAGCCTTGATTTTGCTTTACCGATTTCCTTGATTTAATGTATATTTTCTTTAAATTTATTTAGTTACCATGCATGAATATGACCCTTTTTCCCAAATAATCAAAAGTGACCTGTTACATATCTATTGTTTTGAATTTAGATTTATGTATTGGACTGAATGGGGTGGAAAACCTAAGATAGACAGAGCTGCCATGGATGGAAGTGAACGTACTACGTTAGTTCCAAATGTGGGACGGGCAAATGGCCTAACTATTGATTATGCTAAAAGGAGGCTTTATTGGACAGACCTGGACACCAACTTAATAGAATCTTCAAATATGCTTGGTAAGCTGTACTTCTTTTTTTTTTTTTTTAATCCAGACAGCTATAGTATGTTATTCTTTCTATACAAAAATCCGTGACTGCTATTTACCATTGGTTAGATACTATTGACAGAACTTCCTATGAATGTCTAGATGTTCTGACATTGTATCCTGTTTATTATTATTAATAGTGGGCCAGGTTCTTGGATTCACATCTCTTTATTTTGTGGAAATTTCTTTATTGTTGGGCTTGTAGTGGAATTTGTAACTCCCTAGATATTCCTGAAGTGACTTTTTGTACTAGTAAAGTACAGTATATGCATTTCCATCTTTTTATGGAAGGAAGACTAAAAGTTCAACTTACAGACCCCTATGGAGAGAAAATAAAACTACAGTCAAAACAGACCACTTGGAGTTTAAACAAACTCAGTGATTTATAGCAAGAATATAAGTTTGAGGCATGGGGTCAGACTGCAGATGGATTGATTTCAGAGGACTGGTCTGGTTTTAAAATTGCTGTTAAATAAATTGTTCTATCTTAAATTGCTTACAACTGTAATATTTTATAGGTTACAACTTTCTTTCTTTTGGCCAATAAGGCTCTTCTACTCTCACATGTTTCATGCCTCTGCTTTTCCCGTCTACTGCCTTTCTGAAAACAGGACTCAACCGGGAAGTTATAGCAGATGACTTGCCTCATCCTTTTGGCTTAACTCAGTACCAAGATTACATCTACTGGACGGACTGGAGCCGGCGCAGCATTGAACGTGCCAACAAAACCAGTGGCCAAAACCGCACCATCATCCAGGGCCATTTGGATTATGTGATGGACATCCTCGTCTTTCACTCCTCTCGGCAGGCAGGGTGGAATGAGTGTGCTTCCAGCAATGGGCACTGCTCCCACCTCTGCTTGGCTGTGCCAGTTGGGGGTTTTGTTTGTGGATGCCCTGCCCACTACTCTCTTAACGCCGACAACAGGACTTGTAGTGGTAAGCTGCGTCTCCCCCAGTGCAAACTAGAATTCGAGGAGAAAGCAGGATTTTGAAAACACTGTAGTTCATGTTCTTTCTAGAGCTAACAAGTTGTAGAAGTTCAGAGTTGATCATTTAACAAAAGAGAAGGACTAAAGATGGAAAAATGCATGTTTTTGTAACTTAACTGTTTGATGATAGCCAGTTGCTGTTATGGAAAAATTGGTATTACAGAAAAAATTAAGTCTTTAACTTTTGAGCATTTAAATATTTAGTGCACAATTGCATAGCTTCAGTGAGACAGACCGTCATACATGTGTGCTATTAAGAATTTATATTATATTTTTCTTATTCGTGTTATATTCATTATAAAATACAGACAGTAAAACAAAGAAAATTTTCAAACTACAACCTCCTTGTCCTTTGAAGTTCGTAGTATAGACTAAAGATAAAAAATTTAAGCAAATAAGAGGCCAGGTGGAAAATGCATATTTTTCATGTAAATTTATCCCGGTATAAAATAATTGTAAATATCTGGGGAACTAAAGAGCACATGCTCTGAGCATTGTGGGTGGTCACTACTTAATTCCAGCTGATTTACCAGATCTTCTCCATTCATCCAGATTTTTCTTGGCTGTAATATCTGCTGATATTTAAATATTAGCAGTACATATTACATATTAAATACACATTAACCACACATACACTGTGCTAATGACATCAAAACATAATGTGTAACAAACATTGTTGGCTTGGGGAAACCTGGTTTATGACTCAAGTATATGTGAAGGCCCATGTCTTGATGGATAGACAAGAACAAATTGCTAGATATGATAAACAAATAGAGAATTCGACCAGAAGGAGTAAATTCATGTCAGAGAAGTGTAGGCTATGGTTCACTAGGGTGGATGGTAACAAAACTGCTATAGGATATTGGATTAGCTGTTAATTATTCAATTAGTCACATATATGACAATGTAATATACAAAAATATATAAAACATATATAAAAAGTATAAAATAAATATATATTATTCTACATGATATATAAACGTAATGTTTAAATTTAACATATAATATAAAATATTAAATGATGTGTATAATAATAATAATAGCTATTAACTATTCAGTTCACTATTGAAATTACTTTATTCTGTGACTGAAAGTACAAGAAGTCACATAGGAAAGGATTCAGTGTGTTGTGACACAAGGCTTCAGTTGTGAAAAAGAAAGAATATAAGTTTATAGTTTAATGATTTAATGGAGTCTTTGCCACATAATAGTTTTGAGTTTTACTAAAGTCACGTAAATTTTTTAAGCTTTAAACTTCTCATTTGTAAAATGGGAATAATAATATTAACTACCATGTAAGGTTGCTGTGAAAATTAAGGTATAACATGATTTGATTATTGTGTAGAATGGATTTGAAGAGAGTTGTGGTAGCAGGGAGGTCAGGCAGACTGATGTGGTAAGGGACGTGGCAGTGGTGACAGAAGCTGATGGATTGAAGGTATATTTTGAAGCTAGAATGAACAGAACAGTAGGTTGTACGTGAGGAAGAAGAAGAGAGAGGAGGCAAGGGTGACTTTTAGATTTTTGGTTTGAGTAGTTAAGTAGGTAGGAGATGAGAAGACTAGAGTGAGAAGTTTAATTTTAGGCATGTTTATATCGATTTCCCCGTGGGACATTGACATAGATACATTTAATAGATAGTTGGATAGAAGAGGGGAGACATGAGGTTGAAGATAAATAGATTTTGGAATTGCCAGCACGTATTAAAATGGGTAAGATTACTTAGGGAGAGGGTATGGAGCTAGAGTTCGCAGACTTTCTGTACAGGGCCAGGGAGTAAACATTTAGGCTTTGTGAGTCATATAGTTTCTCATACCTGTTCAACTTTGTCTACTGTAGCATGAAAGCCATGGACAAGACATTTTTAAAATGTGTCTGAATTCCAATAAACTATTCTAAAACAGACAGCAGGGCAAGATATAGCTGTGGGCTGCAGTTTGCCGGCTCCTGTTAAAGAGAAAGGAAGGGGTCTGGTAACCTAAGGAATTTTGTCTGAGGAGGGAGAGCTTGCAGTGGACACTGAAAAGTAGCATCCAGAGAGGGAAAAGGAAAAACAGGAGAGAATGGGGCACCAGAAATAAGATTATTCCAAAACAGAGAACTGTGCTGAATGCTGCTGACAGGCTGAGTTAGGTGAACCCTAAAATAATGTCCACTGGATTCTTGAAGAAGGTGGTGATTAGTAACCCTAAAGATTAGTTGCAGGGAAATAATGGTTAAAGATTAGAGTTGGTCAGAATGTGAATGCAGAAAGGGAGAGAGGGGTAGTTGTCTTTTTCAAGAAGTTTGACGTTGACTGGAAGGAAAAAAATAGGAGTAATGACCAATGGAGAATGGAACCAAGGGGAATATGGAAAGACCCTTTGAGATCATTATTGTTTTTACTGCTTATATTTGTGCATATTAGTTGCTGAGTGAAGGCCTGAGGAATCAGTGCCGAGAGTCCCCATATCTGTCTTTGGCTGCCTTTTGGACATAGATCAACAGTGCTTCCAGTGGCTTTCTATTGTGTACTTTTTTTTTTTTTAAGTTTACTTATTTTTGAGAGAGAGAGAGAGTACAAGTGGAGGAGAGGCAGAGAGATAATCTAAAGCAGCTCTGTGCTGCTAGAGGAGAGCCTGATGTGGGGCTCAAACCCACAAACTGAGATCATGACTTGAGCCACATTCAAGAATCAGGTGTTTAACCAGCTGAGCCACCCAGGTGCCCCTGTTGTGTCCTCTTTTTATAATTAGTACCATTTAATATTTGTGTAGAGATATATTAGGATCCAAGGCAGATTATGAGAGAAATTTATCACAAAGTGCTTGCCTTTAGATACTTTTCCAACATTGTGGGCAATTTACTCCTTGACCTGTTTCATGTATGTATATATTTATTTATTTATTTTTCAGATTTTTATTTAAATTCTAGTTAGTTAACACACAGTGCAATAGTGGTTTCAGGAGTAGAATTCAGTGATTCATCACTTACATATAACACCTAGTGTTCATCATAGCAAGTGCCCTACCTAATACCCATCACCCATCTAGCCCAATCCCCACCCACATCCCTCTATCAATTCTCAGTTCTTTATCTTTAAGATATGGTTTGTTTACCTCTCTTTTTTCTTTTTATTCCCCCCTCCCATATGTTCATCTGTTTTCTTTCTTAAATTCCACATATGGATGAAATCATATGATGTTTGTCTTTCTCTGACTTATTTTGCTTAGCATAATACACTGTAGCTCCACCCACATTGTTGCAAATGGCAAGATTTCATTCTCTTTGATGGCTGAGTAATATTCCATTGTATATATACTACATCTTCTTTATCCATTCATCAGTCAGTGGACATTTGGGCTCTTTCCACAGTTTGGCTGTTGCTGATATAATGCTATAAACATTGGGACATGTGTGCCCCTTTGAATCAGTACTTTTGTATCCTTTGGGTAAATAGCTAATAGTGCAATTGCTAGATCGTAAAGTAGTTCTATTTTTAACTTTTGAGGAACCTCCATACTGTTTTCCAGAGTGGCTGTGCCAGTTTGCATTCCCGCCAACAGTGTGGGAGGGTTCCCCTTTCTCTGCATCCTCGCCAACACCTGTTGTTTCTTGTGTTGTTAATTTTAGCCATTCTGACAGGTGTGAGGTGGTATCTCATTTGTGGTTTTGATTTGTATTTCCCTGATGGTGAATGATGTTGAGCATCTTTTCATGTTTGACCTGTGTTTCAAAAGCTAAATCAGATCATGCTGTTTCTCTTCTCAAAACCTTACAATGGCTCCCCATTTCACACAGAGTAAAAACCTAGTTCTTATAATGGGCTACAAGTTCCTACATGATCCGTACCCCTCACTTTGCATCCCTCCCCCTTTGCTTCTCTTGGCTTTCACTGTTTTCACCGTGGCTTTCACTGTTCTCCCCTTGCTCTCTTCATGACACAGCTACCCTAGCCTCGTTGTTTTCAAATATGCCAGTTACTCCCACCTCAGGATTATTGTGCTGCTTATCACCTTTTGGAATGTTTTTCCTGCAAATATTTACATGGATATACTTCATCTCTGAGTCTTTGCTTAATTTTGACCTACACAGTGAGACTTGATCTACCCTTTTAAAATGGCAAATCATCCTTCCACCCTATTTAGCATTGCCAGTGTTCCTTACCTGTACTTTTTCTTTTTCCTATAACATTTATCATTCTTTGTTATCGTATGTAGTTTATGTACTCTAATATTTATATACTATAACTTCTTAATTATGTTAATTGCTTTTATTGTCTGTTTATTGGAACATAAACTCCCTGAAGCAGTGTTTTTGTTTTGTTTTTTTCACCGATATTAGGTGCCTAGAACAATGCTTGGTGAGTAGTAATGATTCAAGAAATCATTGTAAAATAAAAGAATGAAGAAGCAGGGGAGGACTTGGAAAGATACATATACTCTTCCACTTATCAGCTTTGTGACCTTGGGAAAATACTTAACCTTTCTGAGTTTGCTTACCTAAAAATGGAGATGATAATTTTGGGGATTAATATCTAGAATGATGAGTGACATGTTGGACGTCCTAAATAAACATTTGTTTGTTTTCCTTCCCAATTAATCTGAAATAATTTTATTCTCTTTCAAAATTGTGGCTACGGGGCTGCCCCTTAGTTATTGTGATCTAATGCTTGTTTCTTCATGTGTTTATTCATTTATTCTTCCAATGAATATATATTGAATGTCTGCTACATACTGGGCATTATTTGAGCCAGTGGAAAATGTAGCAGTGAATGAAATAGACATCAGTCTCTGCCCCCATGGAGATTATATTCCAGTGGGACAGATAGTGAACCAAGTAAGTAAACTGTATCATGGGTTAGATGGAGATAAATGTTTTGGAGAAATATTAAGAGCAAGAAACGGTGAGGAGGAGAATTGCAATGTTAAATACACTGATCAGAGAATTCCTTACTGATAAGGTGACATTATGTCAAGAACTGAAGGAGGTGAGGAAATGAGTTATGTGGATATCTGGGAGAAGATCTATTAAGCAAAAGAGACAGCAAATGCAGAGGTCTTAGGAAGAAGCATGTCTGGCATGTTAGAGGAACACCGAAGGGGCCAGTGTCACTGGATTAGAGTGAATAAAGAGATCAAGTCAGGGAGGAAACAAGAAGCCAAATTGTGTAATCCCTTGTTCAGTACTGAGGTGGTTGGTCTCTATGGCATCTTTGTGCAAATCAGGAAAAAATGGTTTCCTTTCAGCATTTGCAGCCACACAGGTGCGTGGCTTGGCTAATGAAGTGTGGACTGGACTTTGGTCCCTACTCATGCCCTTGGCACAGGGCACAAGTGGCACAGTCAGAGGTGATGGGCTTGTTGGCCTTGTAGTTTTTGAAGTTCTTCCACAAGAGCATGGCCTTCCTTTAAGCTGCAGGTGAACAATTGTGCCTTCAAAAGGAGCTGAAAACCTCCCTCCTACTTAACATCTCATCTGTCTTCATTGTGACAATGTAAAGCTCAGACAGTCTGTATGACAATTTCTTAAAGTACCATTCTGCAGGAGATGAGGGAGTTAGAGGTTACATAAATTAGGTTGGATTTGGGCTTACAAAATTGCATATTCTTTATCACTTTAAGCACTGAATGACAGAATCAAGTCTTCCTTGAAATAAGTGACAACATCAGCTTCCATTAATGTCATATGTAGACTTTTCAAAACAAGCATTTATTTGAAGCCATATTTGACTTTGTCTTAATCTACGTTTCTAAAACACCTAATTGTAGAATCGAATTGAAGGTTAAAACTTGACTCAAAAAAAAAGCAAGAGCCCAGTAAAACATGGTAGGGGCCAAATATATACTTGATTAATTGTTTCCCAGGCAGGAAAAGTTGGCAGCTAAAACTCTGGAGTCTAAGCTTCATTGTATGTCTTAGTATAAGTGGTGATTATTCTGTCAGAAACTTAAGAGTTTAGAGCCCCCCTCCCACCCCTTTTTTCTTCAGTTACAAGAAAGCAGTACTGCCAAAAAATAATTCTTAAAAAAAAAAAAAAGCTACCTTGTTGTGACATATATTTTTACTACCTAGTGTATGTGTTCTACTAAAATTGCTAAAAGTTGTTAAGTCAGTATGTGATGGAGTTGACTCCAGATAATGGAGGGTTCCAGTGGGAGACTTTCTAAATCTTCCAAGCTAGGTATGGGCTTCTAGCTGGTGAAGAATTTACACAAAGCAGAATTTCAGTGTTGTGAATGTAGCATTGTGTGTCAACTATGTTTCATTAAAAAAAAAAAAAAAGAATTTCAGTGTTGTAAATACCAGGTTTCTTTATGAGTACCAATGAGTTTCTTTGGGAAACTCAAATTAAGCCAATGTACATTTGGGTATAAATGTAAAGTAAACCAGGGAACCACACATGATGGAATCGTGAAGAATGGGGCTTAGGTCCTCTTAAGCAAGGACTTCTGGATCGGCCATTTATGTTTATGTCCACAAAAAGCACAAAATTCTACTGGATTTAGGTGATGACTGAATACCAAGAGACTGGAGTATAATTGTGGAATTTTTATATATGGTTTAATGAAGATTTTCAAAATACTTAGTAGACTTTGAAGTTGTTGGTAGCACTGTGAAATGCTGTTTCTTTTCTTTTCTTTTTTTTTTTTTTTTTGGTAAGTGAGAGAATATGCAGGGGAGGGGCAGAGAGAGCGGGAGAGAGAGAATCCCAAGTGGAGCTTGATCTCAACCATGAGATCATGACCTGAGCCGTTATGCTGATATCAAGAATTGGACACTTAACCAATTGAGCCACCCAGGCACCCCAAATGCTGTTGTTTTCTAGATGTTTTCCTGCATAGTAATCAGTGTCTTAGTCCCGAGGGTTAGTCTCTGTTGCATTTCCCCATTTCATAAATTTAGGACATCAACTTAATATCAGATTAATATATTTTTTTGGTAAAAATATAAATACAAAGTTTTTTGTGAAGATAGAGATAATGAGTATAAAGCATTTGTTATTACTAGTTCTGTGTGTGCATGTGTGTGTGAGAGAGCAAGAGAGACAGAGAGACATTTTTACTGGCTTTCCTTGCAGTTATCATCCACACAATGCAAAATAAAACCTGTAACTGCAATCCATGAGGATTTAACTTCTATTAATACTAACTTTATTACTGCTACTACTGATATAATTAACAGTAGTTATTTTTACTTTACATTTATATAATACTTTACACTTTTTTATTGAGGTATAATTGACAATAATGCATTATTACATTTTTTAATGTTTATTTTTTAAATTTATTTTTATTATTTTGTTTTAATGTTTATTTTTGAGAGAGAGAGAGCATGAACAGGGAAGAGGCAAGGAGAGAGGGAGACACGACTGAGCCACCCAGGCGCCCCCCCCCCCCTTACATTTCTTTTAACGTTTGTTTGTTTTTGAGAGAGCCAGAGCGAATGTGGGGGAAGGTCAGAGAGAGAGGGAGACACACAGAATCCAAAGTCAGGCTCCAGGCTCTGAGCTGTCAGCACAGAGCCTGATGTAGGGCTTGAACCCGGGAACTGAGATCATGACCTGAGCCTAAGCCAGACGCTCAACCAACCGAGCCACCCAGGCGCCCTGAGAGAATCCCAAGCGGGCTCCACACTCACAGTGCAGAGCCCGATGCAGGACTCAAACTCACGAACTGTGAAATCATGACCTGAGCCAAAATCAAGAGTAGGAGGCTTAACCAACTGAGTCACCCAGCACCCTTAATTCTTGAAGTATCTTCATATATGTTGTAAAATTCTTATAGGAACTCAATGAGCAGGACAAAATAGCTGTAACCTTATTTTAGAGTTGAGCAAACTTTGACCCAGAGAGGTTCAGTGACTTAGTTATGATCAAGTGAGTAGATAATGAGAGAGCTGATATTAAAACCTTTCTTGGACTTTCTACTTTGACCTATGGAAACCCAGGTTTCCTGCCACCCGCAGAATAGCTTATGGAAGAGTAGGATTATTCACTTGGCACACAAGGAGAATTTTGATATCTTTATCAAATACTTTATTGAAATCAAGTCTCCTTTTATGACACTGTGGACAAATTGGAACAAAATAGGCTAGGGTTATGACATAATACCCTATGTCATTGGGTAAATTCATAACTGGTTTGATAGCATAGTGCTCATTAGTGTCACCTTGAGGAGAGTTTCTAGGGACATTCCAGAGGGTTTTGTCCTCAGTCTTACCTCTTCAACATCTGTGTCTGTTTTGCATGAAATGTAGACAACAGGTTGATTAGATCTTTGAGTGATACAAGATTTAGAGTAATTGTGTTTAAAATTTGCTCTTTTCTTTCTTTAAGCTCCAACTACTTTCCTACTCTTCAGTCAAAAGAGTGCCATCAACCGCATGGTAATTGATGAACAGCAGAGCCCTGACATCATCCTTCCCATCCACAGCCTTCGGAATGTCCGGGCCATTGACTATGACCCACTGGACAAGCAACTCTATTGGATTGACTCACGACAAAACATGATCCGAAAAGCACAAGAAGATGGCAGCCAGGTAATTCAGGGCTCGGTTCAAATTCTGTTTTTTTTTGCTATGTAGTTGGACTAACCATCCTCTTTTACTTAATTCTTGAGTGTGTGCGTGCGTGTATGTGTGTGTGCGTGCACACATGCGCAGAGAGAGAGAGAGAGAGAGAGAGAGAGAAGAATGTGAAATTCTGGACCTAGCAGCTTTTTTTCCTCCTAATGATCTTTGATCATTATCAAAGATCCTAATTGTTTGATAATGCTGTTGGAATAAAAATTGTATAAGGTATACAAAATTATACAAATTATACAAAATACAAAAAATTTTGTATACAAAATACAAAAAATACAAATTTTGTATACAAAATACAAAAAAATTATACAAAAATACAAAAAAAATTGTATAAGTAATGGAAAACTTAGTTTGTATATTGGTAATGACTTTGTTACTGCCACTCATATCTGTTTGTTTAGTTTTTTCCATTATGGTTTCATTTATATGGAGTGTTAGAAGCTTTGAAATTAAATAGAGCTTGGTTTTGATCTATCTGTGTCACTCACTAAGATTCTTAGGAACTTTTTAGCTGAAAACAATGTAAAGCACATAGCCCATTATCTGTTATATAGTATGTATAGACTCAGTAAATAACAGTTCTGTTATTATTAATTATTTTTAAAAGGTTTAGAGGATAAGAAACATATAACACAGTCTTGGTAAAATTAAAAACACCTAAGGATATGTTATCACTAACTTAATGATGGGGGGGCTATTATTTGGTGACTAAGGAGGGGAGGGAATAAAAATATTATCAATATCTTATCTATGCTTACATACCAGTCATGGTTTATATCACAGTTATCCATACTACTATACTTTCTTTCTGTGGCCAAGCAGTTTTAGACTGGGAATTACTATGAATAATCATTTGTCTTCCTTATAGCAGTGATGTTGAATTTTGAATATATTAGAATTTAGGGAGATTGGATTAAGTTTTGGTATGTCACTAAGGGTGAGGTGATCATGTATTTAGGGGCTGTTGAGGGATCATTGAGAGGTCTAGCAATAGTGGTATATTACAGATGCACCTTACACTATATAGACCAGGACTAACAGACTGATAAATAATGGAAATTACAGCTGTTATTATACAGTCAAGGACACAGCAGATAAATGAGGTAGCCTCCTTAAGGAATATATTATCTCAGCGTTGCCAAGTAAATGAAATATAATTTATTCATATAGAACATTAGAACAGAACCTCCCTATTGCTTTGCTTTGTTAAAAACCTTTTTTTTTTTTTTTTTTTTTTTTGGTGGTTTGAGGATTGGAGAAGGACATGACTGGTCGATGTGGTTTCTAGCCCTCATTGCTGTTGTCTCTGTAAGGGGTTCACACCTTCAGCACTATTGACATTTTTAGGCTATATAATTCTTTGTTGTGGAGGTATGACCTGTATATTGTAAGCTGTTTAACAGCATCCCTGACCTCCACCCACTAGATGCTAGTTGTACTTGTATAGATGTGGCAATCAGAAATTGTCTCCCCATAGTGCCAAATGCCCCTGGTTGAGAACCGCTGCTTTGGAGGACTTGTAGGGATGTTTCTAGCTGCAGCTATAGCCACTTTACAGGAGACTCTTGCCACCTTCCCACTCGAATCAATGCACTGTCGGGTTCCTAGAGCAACTAATATGGCCTCAGCTCACTCCTCTGCTACATGTCATAATAGCCAAAGGGAACATTTAAAATGCCTGATAAAAAAGAAGCACGTTACCCATAAAAAAAAATGTGTTAGTAAGAAATGTCTGGTGAGACTTGAGAGTTCCTTCTCAGGTTTGTACCATGTAAGTGTAAGCTTTGTGAGCGATCACTTCAGGGCTCTCTGGCTTGGAGTCTAATTTTCTGTGTGTACGTCTTTTTCTTTCCCTAGGGTTTTACTGTGGTTGTGAGCTCAGTTCCAAATCAGAACCTGGAAATACAACCCTATGACCTCAGCATTGATATTTATAGCCGCTACATTTACTGGACTTGTGAGGCCACCAATGTCATTAACGTAACAAGATTAGATGGGAGATCAATTGGAGTGGTATTAAAAGGCGAGCAAGACCGACCTCGAGCCATTGTGGTAAACCCGGAGAAAGGGTATGCTACTCAAGTTGCTTTCAGATATCTTGGCATGTGAGATTCTCATCAGCCTTCCTTTTCAGCTCATTAGTTATTTACCTTTAATATACTGTGCTTCAGTGAAAAAACTTGATATGCTCTATCTACCTGCCCCTGCGTTTTCTTGTATTTTTGCTTTCCCTGCCTAGAATTTCTTTCCTTTGTCACTATTGCTTTAGTTCTAATTTCTGCCCATACCTCCAAGACTGAACTGCAGTGAAGTTTTCCTTGAGCTAGCCCACCCCAGCCTGGCGTGGTTTTCCCCTTTCTCAAATACCCAGCACTCTGTATCTCTGCCTCTCTAGTTATGCTTAGACCTCTACCTCAGACTTAGTTGTGTTTTTGGTGTTATATTTTCTCCTAGACTTTAGGTTCCTTTATGACAAGAACTAATGTTTTCTGTCATTCAATACAGAGTGTTACATTTGGTAAAATAGTACTTTTTTGCATCTGAATGAATGATAAGGAATTCAGCAGGGGAAGTAGCTTACTTCAAAAGAGTTACTGGAAAGAGATGAACTTTAGAATTTAAATATAAGAAATAACTCATATATGACTTATTTTTAGTTATGAAATAGACTAATTGGAGAAGGAATTTAAAATTTTGAGTCCAGGTCTCTCTGATCACTGTTCTTTTATTTCTGTATTGTAATATTCCAAAAGTATAGGTGTGCCTGTGTCTATCATTTCATTTTATTAATTCATGAAAATTATCTCTCCAAGAAGTTCTGTATACTCTGTGTTACTGTTATCAAAAATAATAAAAGTATCCCATGGCCTTAAAAATAACACATTCTACAACATTTAAAAATAAGATTTTAAAATATTCTCCTTATATCTTTAAGGATAGTCTCATTTTGTATGGTTTCTTACTTTGATAAACTTACTGTTTCCTCCTTTCTCTTCAGGTATATGTATTTTACCAATCTTCAGGAAAGGTCTCCCAAAATTGAACGGGCTGCTTTGGATGGAACAGAACGGGAGGTCCTCTTTTTCAGTGGCCTGAGTAAACCAATTGCATTAGCCCTTGATAGCAGATTGGGAAAACTCTTTTGGGCAGATTCTGATCTCCGTCGAATCGAAAGCAGTGATCTCTCAGGTACCCAAGAAATGTAATTCCTTATTTTAATTTCAGTTACTGAGATGATTCATTAATAGGATTTATATTTTTCTTCCATTTTATTATTTTTGTGGACATTTGTTTACAGTTCTAATTTTTTTTTTAATATTCATTTTTTGAGAGAGCACAAGCGAGTATGAGTGGGGGAGGGGTAGAGAGAGAGGGAGACACAGAATCTGAAGCAGGCTCCAGGCTCTGAACTGTCGGCACAGAGCCCAACGTGGGGCTTGAACTGACCAAAGTCAGACGCTTAACCGACTGAGCCACCCTGGCACCCCTTCTTTCTAAAGGGTAGGTGGTTAGTATCAGGTTGGTTGGGAAGCACTTTTTCTTCAACCATGTACGTGATTGATCCCTCTATTATATAATACTTTCCCCGTTTTCTTGATTTGGCCTCTATAAATAATACATTTCTGATGCATCACTTCTTCATTCCTAATTCTTGTGCTCTAGTTTATGTTCTTATCTGAACTCTGGCCTGAGTTGTAGCCAGTGAAATCTCCTCCCTGCTGATTCCCTCCCACCCCCCAGAAAGTTTATGCATTTTTCCCAAACTACTTTTCTGAAGCATGGTATCTGATCATGTCACTGCTACTAAAAAAAAATCTTCAGGATAATCTCATAACCTGAAGAAAGAACACTAGTTGTATACTTAAGTTGGCATTTGCCTTTCACAAAGCCATCGTCAACCTCAAATGATCTTAACTCATGGTACTTTAACCAAATTAAATCACTTGCTGGTGTTCATTTGTCTTCAAACCTCTGTATGCAATCATAGTTACTTCACCTACCCGCCCCCCCAGTTTCTGATGTCCAAATATTCTGTGTGCCCTCACTACTGATCAAGTAAATGAAATTAAAATAATAAACTATTTATATCTATCAGAGTGGCAAAAATATGTTAAGGTTTATTATACCCAATGTTTGCCAGAATGGTAGAGAATGGCATGCTCTCGTGCACTTCGGTATAAGTGGAATTGGTAAGACCTTTCTGGAGGGCAGTTTGCCAATGCATTTCCCTTTCCTTTTTTTTAATGATTATTCATTTTTGAGAGAGAGCGTGTGCACGTGAGCAGGGGAGGGACAGAGAGAGAGGGAGACACAATCTGAAGCAGGCTCCTGGCTCTGAGCTGTCAGCCCAGAGCCCGATGTGGGGCTTGACCCCACAAACCCATGAGATCATGACTTGAACTGAAGTCAGATGCTCAACCGACTGAGCCACCCAGGCACCATTGAATTTCCCTTTTAGATAGTTTTTTCTTTACAGAAATAATGACCCATTTGTACAAGGGTACCTGCTCAGCATTATTTATAATAATGTGTCACAGAGAAATACATTCTGATATATCAATATAACAGTCATTCCAAAAGAAATGAGGTAGATCTGTGTGCACTGACATAGAAGGATAATTTTTTATTTTCTTTTTTCTTTTTTGAGAGAATATGTGCGTGTACATGGGAGAACCGGGGGAGGAACAAAGGGAGAGGGAGAATGAGAATTCTAAGCAGGTTCCATGCCCAGTGTAGAACCTGATGTGGGACTCAGTCCCATAACCATGACATCATGACCTGAGCTGTAATCAAGAATCAGAAGCTTAATTGACTGAGCCACCCAGCTGCCCCAAAGGATAATTTTTAGAAATTAAGTTGCATGACAATGTTTTTGTTTAAGGGTAAATTAATTTTATATATGTATGTACATGCCCACACTATATTTGATGGCAGATTGCTCTTTAAAAATACTTAAACTGTGTATACCCATGTGTACCTATACACACATACAAATAGGTAGGTATACTATTAAGAAACACATGGGTATGTTTGTATTTTCTTCAAGGAATAGGCAAGCAGATATACCTTGAGGAAGGTCTGGAAGGCTAGCATACTAATATGTTGAGAGTATTTCTGTATCACTTGAATTTTATATGTTTGAATACATTTATAACTTTCTTAAACTAGAAAATACTCTCTTTTCAGGTTCAAATGCCTCCTTCCATTATGCCTTTTCTGATTCCAGTCATGCACACATTTATCCATATGTATACACATACCTCACATGGAATATTCTTTCCCTCATCTATTCACCTATATCTTTTATGTCACCTCTAATTTGAATAATAGTTATTTATGTCAGTGTTTTAACTCTTACTAGTTTTATTAGCCTTCTTTCCTTTTCTCTACATTTATCATGTTTTTTTTGTTATGAAATTAACACATGTCCATTAAAGACAGTTTAGAAAAGAAAAAATCCAAAAACACTATCATTATTAATTTAACTTCCATTTTTTAAATGCCTTTTTTTCCCCCTACCCTTAATTATGAAATGGTTCCAGCATACAGAAAGTATGAGTTCCTATCATCCAACTTTGTTAAATCTTAGTTTTTTGGGCCATTTTTGCTTTTGAACTATTTCTTGTCCTTGAGACAATACTTCAGAGAGAGTTTTGAAGCCCTTACATATCCATCCCCAATTCTATTCTCCTCCCTCTTTTCCTTAAGGTAACTTTTGATGTTTTTCTTTGTCATGCATATGTTGCTGTGTGTGTGTATGTGTGTGTGTGTGTGTGTGTGTCTTTTGCCATGCATACACATTACACATATATTTGAACTTTTGTTTCACTTTTTAATATAAATAGTATCGTGTATTCTTTTGTAACTTGCTTTTTTCCAGATACATCGTGGTTTTGAGATGATCCCTGCTGATCCAAAACTCTGTCATTTGTTTTCAAGCTAAATAGTATTTCATTACATGAATCATTCTATAATTTCTCTATTCTGCTGCCTCAACTGCTATTTCCAGTTTCTTGGCATTAAAAGCAATGTTGTAGTGAATATTCTTGTGCACATATTTGAACATTTCTCTAATGGCCTGAACCTAGTAGTAGAATTGCTACTTAATGTGCTATGTATATATTCACCTTGAATAGATATATCCAGATTGTTCTTCAACATGATTATATCAATTTAAGATACCCACCAGAAGTGTGTGAGTTGTCCCTCTAGTATTTGGTATTGTTAGACTTCTAAATTTTTAGTATTGCAGTAGTTTAAAAGTATATCTCAGTAACAAAATTCGCGTTTCCCTGTTTGATAGTAATTTATTGGTCATTCATTTTTTTTCTTCTGTGAATTGCTATTTATTGATATTTTTTCTATCACTGATTTTTAAAAACTCTTTATTCAGGCTATTAATCCATTATCAAGTTACATATATATTGGAGGAGAATTGGCATATTAAAGAAATTCAGTCTTTTCATCCATGACTGTGATGGATCCCTCCATTTGTTTAGGTCTTATTTGATAATTTTTAGTACATCTTTATACTTTTCTCTATAGAGGAGGGTATGTGTTGCATAAATCTTCCAATTTGTGATTTACCTTTTCACTCTTCCAATAGTGTTCTTAGATGAAAAAGTTCTTAATTTTAGTGCAGTACAGTCTACTAATTTTCCCCCTTATGATTAGTACTTTTTATGTTCTGTTTAAGAAACCTTTGCCTACTGCAAAGTTACAAAGGGATTTTATGGGTTTTGTTCCTAAAAATTAAAAAAAAATTTTTTTTTTAACTTTTATTTATTGTTGAGAGACAGAGACAGAACATGAGCAGGGGAGGGGCAGAGAGAGAGGGAAATACAGAATCTGAAACAGGCTCCAGGCTCTGAGCTGTCAGCACAGAGCCCGACGCGGGGCTCGAACCCACGAACTGCGAGATCATGATCTGAGCCGAAGTCGGACGCTCAACCAACTGAGCCACCCAGGCACTCCCTAAAATTTTTTTGTTTAACCTTTCTTAGTTAGATCTATGATCCATTGGCAATTTATTTTTGGGCATGGGGTGAGTTAGGGGTTAAAAATTTTTTTTTTCATGTTACTATTTAACACCAGTTTTAGAGAAGACCATACTTTCTCCACTATTTTCTAATGTCACCTTTGTTGTAAATGAAGTTGACTGTATTTCTGTGAGTTTGTTTCTGATGTTCTCTTGGTTACTTTGTCTTATGTGGTATTTTATTGTCTTACTCATTATAATGTTATAAACAAATTTATTTGGCAATGTTCGTCCTTAGTATTTCATCACAATGGCTCTTGCTTTTTTTTTTTTTTTTTTTTTGCATTTCCATATACATTCTAGAATCTACCTCTGAGTTTCCACCAAGAATGAAAGAAACCTAGTGGAATTTTGACTGGGTTTGCTTTGAATTTATAGGTCAATTTAGAGAGAATTATTTTTATATTAGTCTAGCAAACTATGAACATGGTATATCCATCCATTTTTTTAGAACTTTAATTTCCCTCAGTGTTTTATAGTTTTCTTCTTAGAGGTCTTTCCCATCTTCACTAGAGTTGTTCGTTGGTATTTGAAGCTTTTGAATGCTAGTGGTAGAGCTAGTGGTAATTCTAAATTTTTAATATTTTAATCTCTGATTATGGCTGGAATATAGACATAGTTTCTTTTTCTCCCATTCCCGTTATATTGAGCTTATTCCCAGGGACCTTGTTAAATTCATTTATTTGTGGTTTCTTTATGATTTTGTATGTCATAGAACCATTTGTCTACAAATAATGAAAGTTTCATTTCTTCTTTTGCAGTACTTTTTCCTTGTTACCTTATAACACCGACTGGTACCTCCAATACAATGTTGAATAGAACAATAGAATCCTTGGGTGTTTGTTTTGTTTTGTTTTTCTTGATTTAGAGGAACGCATTCAATACTTCATGATTAGGTATTATGTTTCTTAAGGTTTTCTGTAGATAACATTTTTATCAGATTAAGAAAGTTCCTTCTGTTCCTAGTTTTCTAGAATAAATCAAACTCGGCATGATAACATTTTCCTTTTTATATATTGCTGGATTTGATTTGCTAATGTTTTGTTTAAGGGTTTGTATCTGTGTTCATGAGAATGATTACCCTATAATTTTCCTTTCTTATAGTGTACTTGGCATTTTGCCATCAAGGTTATGTTGACCTCATAAAATGTTTCCTCTTTTTCTGTTTTCTGAAAAAGGTTAGTGTAAAACTGGTAGTTTTATTTTTTCCTTGTTTGTATATTCACAGATAATCATACACTTTTATCTTGGGATCTCTTTCTGCTTCATATTTTGAGCCTGCCACAGAGCCTTTTACACTGGATTGCATTTAGTACATGCGTAGTTTGTTGAATAAATAAGCGTATCTTCATTGTTGGTTCCAGTGTTTTACTTCCCCTTTTATCACTGCCATCAAAGTAGATCAGGTCCTTATCATAGACATCTACAGTGACACTGTTGACAGCTCTTTTTTTTCTCAGTGGTCCACTTGAAACCATCCTTGCACAACTAATCCTTTTAATTCATTCTTCTTATTTTTAACTTAATCTCATCAAAGTAATACATGTAAATATTTGTGGAAATCAAATGCTTATACTCAGTTATAACAGAAAATAAGTCTACTGTTCTCCTACATACTCACTTCCCACTCTGAGGCATCTATTTTAAAATAACTTGCTTAAAGCTGCTATTTCTCCATTTTTCAATTTTAGACATCACAAGTTGACTTATTATATAGAAGATGAAGATTTTGCTGTCTTAAACCATATAAGGCCAAAATACTCCTATGAACTCTCCTCCTATCCTCCCAGGATAGTTATATCGTAATTTTTAAGTTCATACTTAATTGTTATTTATGGCTATGAAAATATTACCTTTAACCGTGTTGCCTTCTGTAGCTTTTTTCCCCCCTGAAGTTAATCTTGTCTAATGTAAATATTATTTCAGTACATACAGATGGATCAAGCAATCCATCTTTTTTCTTTTTAATTGAAAGCATACCTCTTGAATTTCTTTATCATCTTGCTCCAATCTGGATTTGCTTGCTTTTTTAGGCCAACTTCCTTTCACTGTTATCCTGGGAATGCACCTGCCTTTCTCCTTGGTGCTGAACCCTATTTACTGGATTCCATGTCTCTGGCTAATTTCTTTTTCTTGGTAGAACGCATCCTCTATTATTTCTTGAAAGGGGTTCGTAAGAGGTTAAAAATTTTCATTTATTTGTCTGAATTTTTTCCCCTCACATTTGATTGATAATTTGGGTATGTATAGAATTCATGTTTCATAACTATTTTTATCTCCCCGTTTTGAAGGCAGAACTCTGTTGTCTTCAACCATCTCATGTCATTGTGATTCCCAGCTATTTGTATATGATCCTTTATTTTCCCCTCCAGACACTTTTAACATCTTCTCTTTTTCCTAAATATTCTAGAATCTAATGATAATATGCCTTTGTGTGATCCCTCCCTGACTTCCCTCTTCTGTTTCTTTCTTTTCATTGAACTCGTTACTAGGTGAGTCCTTTGTATCTGGAAACTTAACATCTTTTTTTTGTTTTTAATGTTTATTTTTCAAAGAGAGACAGACAGACAGACAGACAGACACAGAGCATTAGCAGGGGAGGGGCAGAGGAAGAGGGAGATATGGAATCCGAATCAGGCTTCAGGCTCCAGGCTGTGAGCTGTCAGCACAGAGCCAGACACGGGTCTCGAACCCATGAACTGTGAGATCATGACCTGATCTGAAGTTGGATGTTTAACCGACTGAGCCACCCAGGCACCCCTGGAAACTTACATCTTCAGTTCTAGAAAGGTGGTTTTTTTTGTTGTTGTTGTTTTGTTTTGTTTTTTAATGTTGTTTCTTTAATGATTTGTTTTCTCATTCTGGAACTTTTACTCAGATGTTGAATCTTGATTTTTCCTCAGATGTTGTGAGTATTTTTCTCTCTTATTTTCCATCTCTTTATCTGAGAGAGTTTTTCCAATGTATCTTCAAACCCTCCTGTTGGATTTTTTTTGAGCTTTCATATATTTAATTTCCAGGGATTCTTTTTTGTTCTGTGAATGCCTTGCCCCCATCAAAAGCATCCTGCTCTTCAGGGTTTTGTTGCTCTTGATTTGTTTTTTTCTGCTTTATCCAGAGAAGTACCATTTTTATCTGTTTTATATGTTAAGGCTTTTCATAAAGTTTAATTTGAAGAATAGAATTTGCTTTTTAAAAATGTTTGAAAACTACTCTTAAGTTTTTGTCCATGTTTCTATGAACTAAAGTATTTACTGTGTGTTGGGCACTTACTTGCTTTTGTTTGTACTTAAGTGTCTAATCTGTTTTCTGATATATATATCTTCTCAGAATGATTTTTAATTCTTGTGGTAAAGAGCTTACTTAACCATATTTTCCTTTTCAGTACTTTTAGAATCTAACTGGTATTCAATCAGTAATTATTGAATGCATGACTTGACCCACATGAATCATTGCTGTTGAATGTTCTCCTTTCCAAGGTGCCAACCGGATAGTATTAGAAGACTCCAATATCTTGCAGCCTGTGGGACTGACTGTGTTTGAAAACTGGCTATATTGGATTGACAAGCAGCAGCAAATGATTGAAAAAATTGACATGACAGGTCGAGAGGGTAGAACCAAAGTCCAGGCTCGAATTGCCCAGCTTAGTGACATTCATGCAGTAAAGGAGCTGAACCTACAGGAATATAGTAAGTGCTGATGACATACTGCTAATTGCAGGATTCATATTTGTTGTAAGAGATTAAGATGGAATTAAGATGTTCTTCTGTGTCTTCTTACCTTTTTTTTTTTGACAGATTTTTGTGCACTTTTAATTTTGCCAATTTTTAAACTCTGTGTTTTTAAAACCTTACATCAAACTCATCTGGGAACTTTTTCAAATTAAACATCATTTCCCCATAAAACAGGAGTGGGGAAAACAATGGTTTTGTTCATTTTCAAAAATTGCCCCAGATACAGCAGACTCCTCTTTGCATGCCTCCTTTCTCACCTTCAGCCCCTTGAAGAATACTGGTATAAAGTATATATTTCTTTTGTTCCCTGTGCCCCCATAGTTTGAATTAAAACAAAAATTATATAATGATGAATATAGTTATCTTGAAATAACCTTATGAAGCAAAAACAACTAAAAATTATTTCAAAAGTTTTTGAAATAGAGAAGACTGTGATTAACAAGTGTTTGTTTTTTCCTTCTGCGTAAATTTTTCAGTTGTCAGCTTAGAAAAGTACCCATAATTTTTTTTTTTTAACCCTACTGGAAACTTTTTAATATGGCTTATCATCTTGCCCTAATTTCTTATTAGTATCAAAAGACCCCTCATAGCAATCACTACTCCGGGTTTTATGTGATTGTACCAGGAATGCTAATGTTAAATGAAATATTAAAGAGAGAGTTATTGAAACTCCTTAACTTCTCAGCACAATGCTTTCAAATCAAACTGGAGTATGAGAGGAGAATAGCAGAAGGAGAGCACCTTTGCTCGTTCAGGTCTTCATTATGTTGTCACTGTTCCTGAACTTTAGAAGTTCAGGGTATTTGAGAATTAGAATTGTTGTCATTCTAAGTTATGACATGTGACTTAATGCTGAACACTTAATAGAAATAAGGCAATGATTTCGTGGTGCCTGGGTGGCTCAGTCGGCTGAGTGTCCAACTTTGGCTCAGGTCATGATCTCACAGTTTGTGAGTTCAAGCCCTGCATTGGGCTCTCTGCTCTTAGCCAGAGCCCACTTTGGATCCTCTGTCCCCGTCTCTTTGCACCTTCTCCACTCACGCTTTCTCTCAAAAATAAACATTTTTTAAAAAGGCAATAGGGGCGCCTGGGTGGCTCAGTCAATTGAGCATCTGACTTCGGCTCAGGTCATGATCTCATAGCTTGTGAGTTTGAGCCCCGCGTCAGGCTCTGTGCTGACAGCTCAGAGCCTGGAGACTGCTTCAAATTCTGTGTCTCCCTCTCTCTCTGCCCCTAACCCACTTGCATTCTGTCTCTCTCTCTCAAAAATAAATAAACATTAAAAAAAATTTTTTTAAATAAATTAAAAAGGCAATAATTTCTAAGCTGTTTATTCAGTTGACAAATGATTATTTTATTGCAGAAAATCTCAATGGAGATTTTCAGAATTTTAGGGGGAATGTTTTTTTTTTATAATCAACATTTAAATATGGTTTTATAGTTGGAAAACCCTTTTTTTGCCAATTTCTTTTTTTTTTTTAATTTTTTTTTTTTCAACGTTTATTTATTTTTGGGACAGAGAGAGACAGAGCATGAACGGGGGAGGGGCAGAGAGAGAGGGAGACACAGAATCGGAAACAGGCTCCAGGCTCTGAGCCATCAGCCCAGAGCCCGACGCGGGGCTCGAACTCCCGGACCGCGAGATCGTGACCTGGCTGAAGTCGGACGCTTAACCGACTGCGCCACCCAGGCGCCCCTTTTTTTTTTCCAATTTCTAATAACATTAAAGAGAGTGAGATTTTTATCAAATGTGTCATGGAATAAAGTTTGTGCTATGTAGGTTGTGCATTCTAGTACACAGTATGACTGATGTCTCTTTTGAGACATCTATATAGTATGCACATCTTCGCATTTATAGATAGCTGACTTTCAATCTCATCAACACACACCGAAAGCAGGGTGATGTGTTATTGAGAAGGCAGAAGATAAATGGGTGGCTACTTTAGATGCTGGTATTCTGATGACAGATGTCAAGTTACTTTTAACACAGGCTAAGTAGAAAATTGAAAGCAACTCTATTAAATACAACTTGTGAGACAGACTTTGAAAAGTTGCTTAACTTTGTATTAGTTTAATTTAGCCTAAATATAAGGAAATTAAACATTTGTAACATTGCAAGTTACCTTTTGCAGTTGATCAAGCAAATAGTTTTTATTGTCTCTGAGTGGTTGCAATCCATGTGAACTTAAGTTTCTTTAATATAACAACTCTAATTTTCTGTATTTTATTATTTCTATATTTCATTAAAATAATACAGTTTTTAAGTAAAATCATCTTTTATAAAGGTAGAATTTCTGAGTTAAAATCTTTAGAAGACTTTTCATATTTTAAATAGAAAAACCCAGGTTTTTGCATTCTCCCTAACAATGTTTTTAGTTTCAATAATCAACTTTATTTTAGATACAAATATTTAAAGACAGTGGTTAAATACAAGTATTTTGCATTTTAAAATTGCTCTCCTTTTCTTGCAATTTTTTGTAGGGATTAGAGTGAGGAATTATACTGCTAGTGAAATTAAAATCCGAGGTAATTTTACATTTGGTTTTCTTGGCAGTTCATAAATAGATTTTGACTGAACTGTCTTCCTTTCTTTCCTCCCTCCCTCCCTCCCTTACTTTCCTTTCTCTCTTTTCCTCCTTCCTCCCTCCTTGCCTCCCTCCCTTTCCCTTTTTCTCTTTTCTTTTCTCTTTTTTTCAGGACAGCACCCTTGTGCTCAGGATAATGGTGGCTGTTCACATATTTGTCTTGTAAAAGGAGATGGTACTACAAGGTGCTCTTGCCCCATGCACTTGGTTCTGCTTCAGGATGAGCTATCATGTGGAGGTAAATACGTTACTTTCTTGTGCAAGGCCAAGTGCCACTTAACATGTTCCATAACTGTCTAGCATTCTGTGAATTGTCAGTGAAATTGCTGACAATTTCTCCTAACTTGATTAGTCACTTGTATTCCATTCATCTGCATCATCCTAGCCTTCTGGGTTATTCGGAGAGTGAATCCATCATGACAGGTAATAAGTGTAACCTAATCTTGGGACTAAAGAGGAAGTGCCCTTTTGGGGGGAGGGGAACTCATCTTGTGAATGACTGTATTTCCTAATTATAAACTAGCTTTTTTCACCCCAGAGAGTAACGAAATGAATTAATTCTACCTCTTATAATCTCCATCTACTGAATTCTAGATTCTACCAAGTTTAGGTATCATTGCTGGGAATGTATCCAGTGAAAAGAATATTCTTTTATTCAAATCTATTGGTAGTTCCCTATTGTTTTTACTTATTTACCTAGCAAAAAAATTTTTTTAAGATATCACTACAATAATGTTGTAGTGAAATTGGTTCAGTTGTTCATGAGAGCATTAACAAATTGGTACGTTCCCTTGTTAAAGCATATTGTGGTAACATTAAATACCATAGTAATATTCATTCCCTTGATTCAGAAATAATCTTCTTGCAGATAATTCTAAATTAATTCAACTGAAAGAAAAAGACTGTTCTTTCTCTACAGTGGCAGGAATCTGAAAGCAATCTAATTTCTAATGACAGAAAATCAGGTTAAATAACTGAGTTTATACAGCTATTAAACATTATGACCATAAGCTCATGTAAAAATGTAGCCAAAATTTGGCTCAAGTAGAAAAAAAAGTTTTAATGGTGTTTTCTGCTATGACAACAACTACTTAAATACATGTTTCTGTAAACAAAGATTGGTTTATACACTCAGAAAAGTTGTTGATAAGGCGTTATAAAAATATTTTATTCTTCTAACTTTACTTTAAAAAATAAGTAAATAACCATGTATTTAGTAGCACCTGTGAGGCACTCTGCTCGGACTACAGGAGATTTGAATATCTTTGAGATAGAGCATACAGTTTAGTTGGGGAGATCAAATATGTACACAGTAAAAGTTAAGCTCTGGTTCTTGAAGTATCTTCCCTCAGAATAACAAGTGTTGCACAATAATGTGAATGTACTTAATGTCATTGAACCACATACTTTAAAATGGTTAAAATAGTAAACTTTGTTACATATATTTTACCACAATAAAAAAAAGAGCAATGATATGTTCCCATATCAAGGTGCTAGATTATTATTACTCTAGTAAGGCAAATCTTAGAAATGCTTACCTTTATGTAATGATAACATAGATAAAATTGAGTCACATATACCATCATCCATTTAGAAAATAAATGTCTTTTAGGGGCGCCTTGGTGGCTCAGTTGGTTAAGCATCCAACTTTGGCTCGGGTCATGACCTCAAGGTTCATGGGTTCAAGCCCCGCCTCAAGCTCTGTGCTGACAGCTCTGAGCCTGGAGCCTGCTTCGGATTCTGTGTCTCCCTCGCTCTTTGCCCCTCCCCTGCTCACACTCTGTCTCCCTCTCTCTCTCTCAAAAATAAACATTAAAGAAATTTTTCTTTAAAGAAAATGTCTTTTAAAAGAACTTTGATTTTTTTCTTCATATTTTGTGATTATTTTCAATGTATGTATTAAAATTTTTAAATGCATGTATTACATTAATAAAGCATTTTAACAAATGGGTTACCAACACTCAAGATATACAGTGTGTCATTAAGAAAAGTACCCTGGAGCCCTTTTCCAGCTGGTTCTCTTCCAGAAGTAAGCACTATTCTGATTTTTATCCCCATAATTTAGATTTGTCTGTTCTTGCATTTTATGTAAGGAATAACGATGTATGTATTCTTTTTGTGTCTGATTCTCTTGGTTAATATTTTGAGATTATTTTTGAGATTCAACCATATAGTGGAATGTATCAGTAGTTTTTTTCTTCTTATTGCTGAGTGGTGTTTCACTGGATAATATGCCACAGTTTTTTCTCATGTTGAGTGACATTTTAATTGTTTTCATTTTTTCTGTTCTTAAGAATAAAACCGTAGTCAGTGTTTGTATACAACATTTTTTTGCGGGGGTGCCTGGCTGGCTCAGTTGGTATGACTCTTGATCGCAGGGTTGTGAATTTAGGTCCCATGGTGGGTGTAGGGATTACTTAAAATCTTTAAAAAAGTGTGTGTGTGTGTGTGTGTGTGTGATTTAACATTGATTATACAGTGGAGGTAAATGAAACACAGAATCTTAATTCCTGACCCTCAAGATGTGTTTTCATTTGAGCTCATCTTACCTGTCCATCTCCTTTCGTTTCTCTCTTTACTTTCGTTTGGCTGTTTAGAGTTTGATGACCACTGTTGTATGTTCTGTTTTGTTCTGTTTTGTTTTGCCTCTGTGGCTTTACTTGCGGTACTTCAAAGATGTAGTTCTCTTCTTGCATGCCGTCCTAAGTCTTATTTTTCAAGGAGTGTCTTCTCATGATCTTTAAACCTTCACTAGCCATTATTGTCCCTGCCTCCCTTTCTCTGAATTGTAACTCTTGTTACCACAGTTTGCCTGACATACAGTTCAGAGTAATGTTTTGTTTTATATTCATTAGTCTCTTTCTCTTCCTAGCCCCAGGTTAAATTATAAGCTCTTTAAGGACATGGACCCTATTTTACCTATTTTTATTCTCCACATGATCTAGTATAGTGCGGGATACAAAATAGGCTCAAATTCCCTCTATAAATAATACTTCAAATTCCCCATGTAAAATGTTCACCTGTAATTTGCAGTGTTCTCTAAAGTTTTTTTGTCTGTTTGTTTGTCTATTTATTTAGAGACAGAGACAGCGTGAGTGGGTGAGGGACAGAGAGAGAGGAGAGAAGGAATCCCAAGCAGGCTCCCAGCTGCCAGCACAGAGCCCAGTGTGGGGCTTAAACCCATGAAGCCATGAGATCATGACCTGAGCCAAAACCAAGAGTCAGGCCCTTAACTGACTGAGCCACCCAGGCGCTGCCCCAGTATTCTCTACTTTAAAGATAAGAGGTTTTCTGATATTAACAAAGTTACATTATCTAGAGAATTTACTAAGAGAGAAGGTTTTAAATGAAGTCCAGGAGCCTGGGATATAAAGGCAATGGGCTAAAACTAGAGAGGCTGTCCTTTTGGTCCTCTCTTTTATTTTTAATTATCCCTTTGTGTAGGAAGCTATATGACCTTGGGCAGTCACTTAGTCTCTCTGAGCCTGTTTCCTTATTTGCAAAACAAGGAAATTGGGCTTGAATGGCAATTCTCAAAGTGGCCTTAGCAACTTTTACATTTTTAAAAATTAAAAGGGCCCCAAACAGCTTGTGTTTGCATGGGTTATGTTTATCTGTATTTACTGTAGTAGAATTTAAAACCAAGAACTTTAAAAAAATTTGTTAAAAATAATAATAATAAGCGCTTACATGTTCTAAAGTTAAACCTGTTAAGAAAATTATAACTATATTGGAGCCCTTGGGTGACTCGGTTAAGTGCCCCACTCTTGATCTTGGGTAAGGTCATCTCACAGTTTGTGAGTTCAAGCCTGGCATCGGGCTTTCGCTGATGGTGTGGAGCCTGCTTGGGATTCTGTCTCTCGTCTCTGCCCCTCCCCACTTGTGAGCGTGTGCACTCTCTCTCTCTCTCTCTCTCTCTCTCTCAAATACATAAATATTTAAAAATTATTTTTTAAAATTTATATCAATATTTTCTAAAGCAAAGTAATTTTAGGGAGAAATGTGGCATTGTTTTTACATTTTTGTATATATCTTTTAATGTTAGGCCAGATTCTCATGTCTACTTCTGCATTCAATCTGTTGTAATATGTAGTTTGGGTTGAAATATATGAGGAAATTTAGCCTGAAATGTAGTTGGAAAATAGAAAACTATAATAATAGTCTTTTAAAATAATTATACATATATCTTGAATTCTACACCAGGTATTGACCAGTGGTAGTTTACTGTAGATTTAGTTGCAATGTGGAATTTGAAACCATATGAACTTTTCATACTCTCTTAAATTAAAATCCACTGATCTATTTTGTCCTCTAATTGGATATTTTACCCAGACCTGATTTTGTAACCTTACACTGTGGTCATTTGGAAATACTAGAATTCCAACCAAAAATTCCCAGATCTTCAGATTTTGATGAATTTCATTATTCAATATCAAAAACCCCATGTTTATCTCACTACCAGTCTCATTAGAAAAAACTTTAGGGACACCTGGGTGGCTCAGTCAGCTAAGTGTCTGACTTCAGCTCAAGTCATGATTTCACAGTTTGTGGATTTGAGCCCCACGTCGGGCACTCTGCTGTCAGTGTGGAGCCTGCTTTGGATCCTCTGTCTCTCTCTCTCTCTGCCCCTCCCCCACGCTCTCCTCTCTCTTCTTTTTCTCTCTCACAAAAATAAACATTAAAAAAGAAAAAAGAAAAAACTTTTAAGTACTGGGAATCTGTCAAACTTACCATGTTAGATACAGATTGTCCAAAATTATAATTTCTGGTTGAAAGCTCCATTGTTACAATATGCTTCAAAAGTACAGTGTTATGATTTTACCATTATTTTCCTTGAAGTAACAGGCTCACTGGTTCATTTTTTAAAAACTTCCTGCCAAATACCCAAGTGTAAATAACTGTAGTTTATTTGTCAGTTCTTTTAAATTAAAATTGGTATTCCATTTTGGGTTGAGTTTACAACTCAAAGTGCTTTCCCTAACTTTAAAATATTTAGAGGTTGGTGATTATAGTGATTATTCCTAAATTATGTGTCAGATTTTAATGGATTGCAAATAATCCTACTTGAATTATAATATTTGAGAAAACTTCTGCCTTATAGTTTTGCAAGTTAGTGAATCTAAATGTGGTAGTGTAAAAATTGTACTTCTCTGATTAGTAGGGATAGTTTACAAACTTTATTAAAAAGTGTTTTGCGCATGTTAATATTAAATGAGCTTCACTAGGTGTGTTTGTACCTTTGTGTGACTGTTGTGTTTTTGTCACTCCCCTCCCCCTTGGTCATTTGAAGAACCCCCAACATGTTCTCCTCAGCAGTTTACTTGTTTCACCGGAGAAATTGACTGTATCCCTGTGGCTTGGCGGTGTGATGGGTTTACTGAATGTGAAGACCACAGTGATGAGCTCAATTGCCCTGTATGCTCGGAGTCCCAGTTCCAGTGTGCCAGTGGGCAGTGTATCGATGGTGCCCTCCGATGCAACGGAGATGCAAACTGCCAGGATAAGTCAGATGAGAAGAACTGTGAAGGTATCCAGACTTCCTAGGGCCTGGCTGTGTAGTCTTTTTTTCCCATTAATGTTCAGTTGTTTGAAATTCAGAGTATTGCTTTGGCTCAGTGGTAAGTAGTCCTTGTTTCCAGTGAGCTCTGAAATAGTGGATTAATTTATTACAATGAAAAATAATTTCACATTTTCCTCTTTGCACTACTAACCTTTAACGTGGTAAAAAATGAGCAAATAAATTCTCTAGAACTTTTTTAGTATCTAGAAATGCACATAGATAGAATTCTTTAATTCTTTACAGAGTAGAGCAAAATAGGAAATTTCCTGCTGGATTTCTTTTTCCACTTTTTTCTCTCTACTAATGGAAATCTCTAGAGAATACTTTTTAAGTTATATTTTAAAGTCTAATTTGTTTTTCATTTGTACCCAGAAAGTACTTTTTGTCTCTTGGCAGAGTTTCACTTTACATGATAATGAAAATAAGAAAATTGTTTGCATTTTTTTCCCAGTGCTTTGTTTAATTGATCAATTCCGCTGTTCCAACGGTCAGTGCATTGGAAAACATAAGAAATGTGATCATAATGTGGATTGCAGTGACAAATCAGATGAACTGGATTGTTGTAAGTAGGACTAAAATCTTACATATTACGCTTCTGGGAGACTTTTTAAAATACTATTTTTTTTTAAAGATGTGTTTCACTTAGAATTTCCTTATTAAGAAATAAGCATTAATGTTAAGCTAGTTATTTGTACCAAGATCTTTTATGTTTTGCTTGTTATAATTCCTTAAAGACAGTGGTTTTCTTATGCACAAAACTCTTCACAGAAACATTTAGGAAAGCATCAGAGAAGAATAAGTATTATTTTGCCACAACTAGAGTTAGGAAATTCTCAAATGATTTAGATATGTAGAAATCAGTTGGTGGCATAAGCTTGAGAGTTTCTGAACATCATTTCTGATGTTTATCATCTCTCATTTTTTTCTAGACATATTTCTACCAGTTTCTCAGTGACTTTAATAGCTTCCTTAAAATGTAGCCTGAAGATACTTAGGCCATCTTATACCCCTAGGCCTAAAGACTCTAGGGTACATAACCCGTAGTTTCTTCAGGGTTCATAACTATTGACCATGCCCTGACATAAAATATATCCCAAATTGATAAACTTAGTTCTGAGTGGAATTCAGCATAAATCAGGTCTACCCTGTCAAACTGGTTTAATGAAATTTAGATAAAATTCATTTAAAAGCTCTTTACTCATAGGTTGCCTGGGTGGCTTAGTCGGTTAAACATCCAACTCTTGATCTTGGCTCAGGTCATGATCTCACAGTTTCATGAGTTCAAGCCCCACGTCAGGCTCTATACTGGCAACACAGAGCCTGCTTGGGATTCTCTCTCTCCCTCTCTCAGAGTCTCTTATGGTTGAGGTTGTAGTAAGAATAGTGATTTTATTTTATTATTATTTTTTAGTTTACTTATTTTGAGAGAGAGATAGCGTGAGTGGGGGAGAGGCAGAGCACAATGGTGAGAGAGAGACTCCCAAGCAGACTCTGCACTGCCAGCGTAGAGCCCAACGCGGGGCTCGAACTCATGAAACCGTGAGATCATGACCTGAGCTAAAACCAATAGATGCTTAACTGACTGAGCCACCCAGGCGCCATAAAAATAACGATTTTAAAGCCAAGTAGAGATGGATTTGAATTCTGGCTCCACCTCTTACCAGCAAATTATTTATTGTCAAACTTTAGTTTCTTTATCTTTAAAATGAAGATAATGTTTAGCCTGGTGGTTGTGAGAAAATTAAATAACTTAATGTATATAAAATATATAGCTTGGCTCATAGTAGATACTGTTGATAAAGGAGTGTGGTAAATGATACTAAACGTGCTGTTGTAGAGATCTGTACGAGTGGTAGCACAACAGAGCGAGTGGTCAGATCTTCAGGAATAAAAACAGGGTTCATCAAGGAAGACATCTTAGAAAAATGGTGCTTAAAATTGGGTATTGATCAGTGAATAGAGTTAATTGTACAGATAAGTGGAGAGATTGCATTCCAAGCAGAGAGAATATGCTATTCAAAAGCAGAGTGAAACAGGCACCTCTGGGAAACTACATGTGAATGGGATGCCAAAATGTAGGCTATGTCTTGAGGAGGGATATCAGCAAAAGAACATACGTTAAGGGTGAGATCATAGAAGACTCTGCTTTTCTTCTAAAAAGCCCAGACAGGGGCGCCTGGGTGGCGCAGTCGGTTAAGCGTCCGACTTCAGCCAGGTCACGATCTCGCGGTCCGTGAGTTCGAGCCCCGCGTCAGGCTTTGGGCTGATGGCTCAGAGCCTGGAGCCTGTTTCTGATTCTGTGTCTCCCTCTCTCTCTGCCCCTCCCCCGTTCATGCTCTGTCTCTCTCTGTCCCAAAAATAAATAAACGTTGAAAAAAAAAATAAAATAAAAAGCCCAGACAGCATCCAGAAAAACAGCCATTGACAAACTTAAGTGAAGGACCGGCATGGCTATGTAATTGTGAAAGCTGTAAAAGCAGATGCATTGCCAGCATAAGATTAGAGGCAGCTAAATGACACATTGGTTGCTTTCACACTTTTTGGATCACCTCAAGAGGAGTACAAAGATGGGGGTGCATACGTAAAGGAGTCATGCGGTAGTATCTACCTATATTATGTAGAATGTATTCTGAAGTTTTCTGTTTTAAAATGCTTGTTGTAACCCACTAAATTTTTTTCACCATCTAATTACTTGGAGCCTATAATTTAAAAATTCTTAGGAGGCGATTGTAGTTTAGGCAGAAGATGATTATCTAAATCAAGAGGAGCAGTGGTGGTGGAAAGGAAGGGATAGAGTTCAGAGCTATCTCAGAAATAGAGTAAAAAGCGTTTTGTAACCACTTGGATGTAGTTGATAAGTTTAGGTTAACTCATAGGTATCTCACCGAGTTGCTGGAGTCATTAACTAGAATATGTAGCAGGGACTGAAAACTCAAGGACCATTCCATATCTTGGCTCAGATGTAATGTTTGCCTGATACAGGTTTTTTTATTAATTTTTTAAATTTAAGTTTAATTTAAATGCTTTTGATTTGCCACAGGTGCCATCATTTATTTATGATCTGCTTTACCCCTGGAATCTAGGAAACGTGTCAGATATTGGTGAAGACGACTGCAGTGTAGACAGATCGCTTCAAAGTTGCTGATGAGCTTATCCCATTGAAGCTATTCAGGAAGTTGTCGATTGTATGGGTCTGTAGCTCAGGAGAGAGATTTGGCCTCTACTGTTAAAGATAATTAAAGCTGAAGCAGTAGATGAAGTCTCTCAGGGAGAGTTACGTAGAAGAGGAAAATAGTAGAAGATAGAAGGAAGTCTGGCAAGCACCTGTACCTAAGAGGCAACAGAAGAGAAGGAAGCCAACAAAAGGAAACAGAAAAAAGAAGAATCAGAGACAGTAAAATTAAGAGAGTGGTATCTTGGAAGGATACTGTTAGACATTTTTGAGAAGAAAACATAGAGCCAGCAGTATTGAATGTTTAGAGAGGTCAGTAAGATGAAGAGTTAGTGAAAATGGCAAATAGGAGAACTCTGACCTTTGCCAGACTACTTTCACTGTGGCGATGAGGATAGGAGCCTGATTTCAGTGAGTTAGGATGTGACCCAGAGACTAAGCATTGGAGATAGTGAATATAAGCTATTCTGTCTTGACGCTTGGCCTTAGAAAGCAATGCCAAGGCACTGGAAGGGAATACGATAGATGGTTGCTCACAAGGACTGGGGAGGATCTGTACCCTAGAGTCCACAGACAAAATATGTAACTGACAGCCCCTGCATATTTTGTAATTTACTGATACCATTTTCTTTCATTTCTTTTATTTAATCTATTAGGGGCTGAATTTAACTCTGTGGGTGGGAGATTTAAGGTAAGATGAAGCAGAAGGAAGGTTTTTTAAAAGATCTGCAGTTGCGAGATACAGTCTGACTATTCGGAATGGAAGGAATTTCCTTCTAAATAGAAGAGTAATACTCTAAATCTGATGAGGCCTTTTGCTGTTTCCCTCTACCTGTAATATTGATGCCACCTGCTTCTAAAGCCTCAGATAGCTCAGGGATCTGATGAAGGTTAATGCCACGGGCAGGGTCTTCCTCTGGTTCTCTCATGCTCTCACCTTTCTAAGTCCTCACGCACTCAGGTACCAGACACCTTATGTTTCTTGCCCTCAGGCAACTAGACTTACCCTGAAGGTACCAGCATATTGGGCCTGAGAGCTAATGTTCATCTTTAGCTTCTCATCTCCCTTCACCAGGCCTATATGTCACTTTTCAAACCTAAAATCAGGCTCAGAGCTCGTGCCTTGCTGGTGCAGAGTTGGCTTCTTTGTTATTCCAGTTAAAATATTTGATGACTTTTCTAGGTACATCCCTTTTGGCCCTAAAATTTTGTCTGAAATTTCAAAATAACCCTGTTATTTTATGATATACAAAATGAAGTAGGATGAGGCGCCTGGCTGGCTCAGTTGGAGGAACATGCGACTCTTGATCTCGGGGTCAGGAGTTCGAGCCCCATGTTGGGTGTAGAGATTACTTAAATAAATAAATAATTTAAAAAAATAAGGTAGGATGGGGCGCCTGGGTGGCTCAGTCAGTTGAGCGTCTGACTTCGGCTCAGGTCATGATCTCGCGGTCTGTGAGTTCGAGCCCCACGTCGAGCTCTGTGCTGTCAGCTCAGAACCTGTAGCCTGCTTCCGATTCCGTGTCTCCCTCTCTGCCCCTCCCCCGCTCATGCTTTTTCTCTCTCTCTCTCTCTCTCTCTCTCTCTCTCTCTCTCTGTCAAAAATAAATAAACATTAAAAAAATAATAAAGTAGGATAAGTTTTAACTGTCTCTGTATTAAAGCTTAATGATTAAGTATAATTCACTTACATCTTTGTTATCAGTTTGCAGATATACTTCTCAGTGTATCGTTTTATTTCTATCTTCGCTTAAGGATAGTTCATTTTGATTTCTAATGGTATTTATATACCCATAGGGCATGGTGTACATGTATTCATAATAACTATTTTGAGTCTGCAGTTGTTTCTCCATTATATAACTGTACTGCATTCTCATTTTAGATCCAACTGAGGAACCAGCTCCACAGGCCACCAATACAGTTGGTTCAGTTATTGGAGTAATTGTCACCATTTTTGTGTCTGGAACCATATACTTCATCTGCCAGAGAATGTTGTGTCCACGTATGAAGGGAGATGGGGAAACCATGACTAATGACTATGTAGTTCACGGACCAGCTTCTGTGCCCCTTGGTTATGTGCCACACCCAAGTTCTTTGTCAGGATCTCTTCCAGGTGAGCTAAGACTGATCCATTGAGAATCAAGTCTTGGGTCCTGGCAACATTGCCAAGTTTCTGTTATAGAAACAAGATACTGCCTAGAGTCTGTTTCAAACTAGACTCCTTTGGGTTTAAAAAATTATAAGAATAAATATTTTATTTTACTTTTAGCACTCTTTAATACAGAAGATCTTAGATCTTAGTAGAAATTGTCCAAAAAATATAAAGCAAATATGTACACATTTATATACACTGATTGCATTTAGTACATGCACTACATATACTGCATTTCTGGATGTACTCTACTGAAAATGAAAGCTAGACATTTGGTAAAGCGTCATAAACCACAAGTCCTTTAGGTGCACTATTAGGAGACCTCAGGACCACTGAGGACAGGAATTGAAGGTGCAAAAAAATAGATTAGGATTCCTTTTCAGCAAACAAAGATTTGGAAATAGCTGGGTTGACAACAGGTTTGTTTTGGCATAGCCAAGTAGCCAGAAATTCTGGGTACTTGAGTAGACGATACTGCTCTAGCAAAGTACAGCTTTCTTTTAGTACTTTCTGGTGCCCATAGTGAAAAGAAGCCCCCACCCCCCATTATTTTAATGAATATGGAGAAGGAGTTTCCCGGCAAAAGGTGTCAGAAAATAAGAACTTATTCTGGGTGTAACTCTAAGTAAACAGGATTTTGAAACTGTTAATGATAATGATTCCTTATTTTGCTATACCTATTTTCAGTTAGTGGAATATGGGAAGTCATGTGAGAAAAAATAGAATTCTGGCATTGGTGGTTGTGATTCCAACAACATTTGCATACATTAGATGAAAAAGATGAAAAATCTCCCGTACTTTGTATTCATGCCCTTAAAAGTGGATTTAGTTTCCTTTTGAGCACATCTCTTGTTTAATCTACCCTGCTTTACAGCCTCCACTCTCCATAGGCCTTTTCTTCTGCAAATCCTCTAAAGTTGAAAACTTCTTATTTTGAAGAGTGCTGCTTCTATCCTTGGGGGGAAGGGATGGGAGCTATTCTTGGCCTTGTTCTAGGCCAGCTCTCAGTGGAAGTGTTCACTTCTCGAGAACATTCGTTTGCCTTCTGCATTAAGCATTTTCAATTATTGTTACGAAATGAGAGCACAGATTGTTTTAAAATCAAACTATTTGGCTATTGGTATTTGTAATCCTAGTATTAAATAAAAATATTTTATACATAAAAATAATTTGTATAGATCTTAATCATCTTCAGTATTTATCCTCCTTCATTTTAGGAATGTCTCGAGGTAAATCAATGATCAGCTCCCTCAGTATCATGGGGGGAAGCAGTGGACCCCCTTATGACCGAGCTCATGTCACAGGAGCATCATCAAGTAGTTCTTCAAGCACCAAAGGCACTTACTTCCCTGCAGTAAGCAGTCTGTTTTCCTTTGTTTCACTTTGAATGCTAAGATAAATAGGATCCTAGACTTTTAACTTCTTTAAATGTGGGTGCTTAGTGATGGTAACTTAGAAAGTTTTTTAGTATACTATTTAGGCATATAAGTCTCCTAGGAAAGATTTGCCACCACCATGCAAGCACTTTTAAAGTCTTTAAGTTTACTGTGTATTAACCAGCATATTTGAAGGCACTAGACAGTAATTTCATATTTTGGGTAAAAGTAGAACTACTAAATAGTATCTCCTGAGAGACTTAGGATGACCTTCATTCTGTAACCTCCCAAAAAAGGAAGCATGCCTGCTATTTCTCCTATGTCAGTGATTTTTCTCTAAACGTTTATAATTTTAAAAAATCAGAACCCTATTGTGCTGAACTTAAACCAGTGACTTACAGATTATAGATTTTCTGCTTATTACCTTGCACTGTTTAGCCATGATGAAATTGTATCTTAAGGAGTAGAGAGCCCCACTCCTGAAGCACTATTTGAGGTCAGTTCTTTGAAAGAAAGATTGTGCTAACTGTGTAAGGGAAAGGAATACAAACAGATGAAGGAAGAGAGTGTAAAGAAAGTCTAATGGTCTTTATCTGGCATTATTATTATTGTAATAATTATTGTAATAATTTAATTATTGTTCCATTTAGATTTTGAACCCTCCGCCATCCCCAGCCACAGAGCGATCACATTACACTATGGAATTTGGTTATTCTTCAAATAGTCCTTCCACTCATAGGTCCTACAGGTAAGTAAGTGGAAGTATTTATTAGGAGAAAGAAGTAGTGGGTTTGATGTAGCCCTACATAAATAGATGATGGCCACTGAGAGAGATTAGGCATCTTGTCTTGGTAATGCTGATGTTGTCCCTACCGCACATCCTTTTCTTTTTGAGGCATTACGCATTTTTTTAGAGAGAGTCACAAGTGTTGACTTTATAATAATGAAGTAGAGTCAGCTCCCAATACTGCTTTGGCAGTATTGTAAGGAAAAGTTACCCACCAAAATAACTGATTACAAAATGGGCTACTGCTCAGGTTAGCTTTGTTTGGTGGCCTAGGAATGGAATATTGGCATAGGACTGGAGTTCCAAGAGTTGTGAGAGCTGTAAAATTGCAGGGGTGCAAAGAGCACAGAATTTGAGAGAAGTTGGGAGAAGCTTAAGTTCAGCCCTTGCTTCAGTATTACACCATCTGGAATGAAGAATTCTTCATAAAGTTGCCTGGAATAAATCACAACTCACTAAAATAAATGAAATCTATTTGTAAGACAAAATGGGGACATTTTCCCCTTGTGCTGATTTGTGTCTGTAGAGCATGTTAAGCAGGAGAAGGACTAGTGTTTACCTTACTCTTTCCATCTTGTTTCAAAGGCCAGCAGAAAGTCAGCGGCTTGATACTCTGTGTAAACCTAGTGCTGTGTTTATCAGTGTCCCTCAAGTGCCTATTATCTTCTAGATAAGTGTTTCCTAGACTTCCAGTCAAATTGCCCTGATAAAACCGTACAGATAGGTAGAAATCAAGTGAAACTGCTGATAGTATCTTACTCAGAATTCCCATTTCAGTTTATATGCATAAGATTAAGGCCTGATTCTGAGCTGATATTTTTGTGTTTTATTGTAAATTGCTTTCCTTGCCACTAGTTTGTTCTAAAAAGCCGAAAGAGAAAGCAGAAACCTCAAAACTGAAAAAAACAAAATGAAAGACCCCAAATTTTTATTTTTAAAAAGTTATTTCTTTAAATTGAATAAGACATTGTTTCATTAAAATGAACATAATTGCATCAAAAACATTTCTTACTTGACCATTTCCCACGTCTCAAATTAATCCCAGTTTCTTTCTTCTGAGTCACTTTTCATCATTTGTTGAGATTCTTGTCTGAACTGGAATGTAAAAGAATTTTGTTGATTTTCTTTCCTTTTTTCCTAGCTTTTTTTTTTTTTTTTTTTTTTTTAACATGAAAATGGAAGTGTTTGGCCTTTTAGTTGAGCCTAGAATGTTCATCAAGGCTCAAACCTGATTGGACAGAAAGATAAAACCTAAAAAGTGCTATGACCTCATGTGAATATTGGTAGTAAAACCGCTTGAGAACCTGCTCAGCAGGTCATGTAACCTTTAGCCATTTGTTTTGAGACCAACCCTGGGTGCTAGCAGATGGTTTCTGTGTTGGGATGGGGTCTTGTGGCACACTCTGTAGCACTGGGTGTTTAGTGGATTGTTACCTCAGTTTTGCACGTGCTCTTGCCCCTCTTTTGTCACTTTGGCGATGGAGTATATAAAGAAACCTTGATTGGGATAAATATGAAATAAGATCAGCTTTACTATATTTCAAATGTAAATGCTATATGAAGTTACAGATAGAAGTGAGAGCTAGCACTTTGAAATGAGCGCTTCCTTTCACTAGTGTGTTTGTCTCTTTTCAATGCCTTTTTTATTAGTTAGCCATGCTGCAAACTTGCTGAACTTGAAAAAGCAGAACAACAAGAAATAAATTAGGTCTCAGTCGGTTAAACGTCCAACTTCGAGGGGCGCCTGGGTGGCGCAGTCGGTTAAGCGTCCGACTTCAGCCAGGTCACGATCTCGCGGTCCGGGATTTCGAGCCCCGCGTCAGGCTCTGGGCTGGTGGCTCAGAGCCTGGAGCCTGTTTCCGATTCTGTGTCTCCCTCTCTCTCTGACCCTCCCCCGTTCATGCTCTGTCTCTCTCTGTCCCAAAAATAAATAAAACCGTTGAAAAGAAAAAAAAAATTTAAACGTCCAACTTCGGTTTGGGTCATGATCTCACAGTTCTTGGGTTTGAGCCCCGCGTCGGGTTGTGCTTGACAGTGCAGAGCCTGGAGCCTGCTGTGAGTTCTGTGTCTCCCCCTCTCTCTCCCCCTCTGTTGCTCATGCTCTGTCTCTCAAAAATAAAGAAACATCAAGAAAATTTTTTTAATTGTAGTAGTGTATGATCTTCAACCTGAAGTTTACATCTAATACTTCTGTATTCTGATAGAGAAGAAACTGCTTTTCTATAAAACTAAGTGTCTGCTTCTTGATTTTCTCCCCCTACCAGCTACAGGCCATATAGCTACCGGCACTTTGCACCCCCTACCACACCCTGCAGCACAGATGTCTGTGACAGTGACTATGCTCCCAGCCGGAGGATGACCTCAGTGGCAACGGCCAAGGGCTACACTAGTGACTTGAACTATGACTCAGAGCCTGTGCCCCCGCCTCCCACGCCCCGAAGCCAATACTTGTCAGCAGAAGAGAACTATGAAAGCTGCCCACCCTCTCCATACACAGAGAGGAGCTACTCTCATCACCTCTACCCACCACCACCCTCCCCCTGTACAGACTCCTCCTGAGGAGGGGCCCTCCTCCTCTGACTGCCTCCAACGCAAAAATGTAAATACAAATTTGGTTGAGATCTGGAGGGGGGGAGGGAGCTATTAGAGAAAGATGAGGCAGACCATGTACAGTTAAAAATTATAAATGGGGTAGGGAATACTGGAGATATTTGTACAGAAGAAAAGGATATTTATATATTTTCTTAAAACAGCAGATTTGCTGCTTGTGCCATAAAAATTTGTATAAAAAATAAATTTGTACTAAAAGTTTTATTTTTGCAAACTAAATACACAAAGCATGCCTTAAACCCAGTGAAGTGACTGAGTACAAAGGAAACAGGAATAATAAAGGCATCACTGACCAGGAATGTCTGGGCTTTATTAATACCAAAAAAAGAGAGAGAAAGAGAAGAAGAAGAAGAAGACGAAGAAGAAGACGAAGAAGAAGAAGAAGAAAAATTCAAGTCCATCTCAGAGCAGCAAACCATAGATACTTGGAAGTAGCCAAATAGCCTTCATGTTAGCTAACATTTGAGGGCCAATAAGTTTAAGAAATCACAAAAGGAAAAAGAAAAAAAGGTATTAAAACTAACTTTGGACAAAGGGCTTTATTTTCTCTAGGAATCCCATTATTTTAGTGAGGAAAATAGGTCTTTATAAAAATCCCTTCTGGGTGTTGCCATTGGAGGAGATGAGCTGTCCAGTCAGATGGTGTGGGGCTCTTTGTGTGTGCAAGTCTTCTGTCCCTACCTTAGAACCCACAGCCTCTGTCAGAAGAATTCGTTTTTTCTCTAGGTGTTTTTACCTTGCTTCCTCCCCCAGCAGCTTTGTAGGCCATTTTGCCAAGATATCACGATTTATTCACAGCTTTTTTATCTGAGGATTGATAAAATGGAATTTTCTAAATTAAGGTTTCATTTTAATATTTCTACTAGCTCTGTTCCTCTGTAGGCTTAGCTCTTCAGTTTGACTGATGTTTTTGCTTAATGATCAAAGGTTAGACATATTAGTGCTCCTCTTCCAAGATTGTTTTAATGCTCATTAAAATATCTTTTCACAACACATATAGGCAATGTTTAAGAATTACAAATTTAACCATTATGTTTTGTTGTAAATTAATCATATATCCTTGCAGTACTTTCAGCATATAATACCACAATATGAAATCATTTATATATATATTTTTTTTTCTAGTAAGACATTTAAATATGTTCCAGTTAGAGACAATCTATTTAAAAAGAGAATTTTTTTGTTATCATTAGGTTTTCCCTTTATTAACTGTTTGTGACATTTTCATGTTCTTTAGGCCAATTTTTCTGAGTGATGTCTACATACATACCTCTTCTAATGTGTGACGTGACTTTAATATCTTCCTGTTACCCAATGTGAATGTTAGATTGTTTTCAAATTATCCACAAATTATTCTTATAATCACCTCTTATATATTTTTGTGTGTTCTCTCTTATCCTGTTATGGATTAAGATGATTTAACAAATTTAACAATGTGGATTAAACGAGAAGGCCAACCGTTTACTTCTCAGCTGTCAGAACTTGGGTGGAGGGGAGTAACGGAAGGCTCTTCTGCCACCTGCCTGACCTGCGTGGTCCTGGGGCTGCTGCATCTTCAGCTCTTAGGGCTGACGTGTGGAATGATTCTAGCACTGCTTTGCCACCTTGCCAGAAGTTAGTTTCCTGCTTTTTACATTTTTCCAGCACTTCTCTGCTAAAACTGAATGTGTTTTTAAACTAATGTATTTTTACCTTAACAGATGTTGGTCAGTCAGTTATTTGAATGATTTCTTTTTTTTTTTTTTTTTTTTTTTTTTTTTTTTTTTTAAATTCTGTCTTGCTGAGGCCTCTCTGGATTTCAGGGCCCAAGAGAAAACCATGGAAGAAAAGATTGAGACTTTTGGCAGGGGTGAAGTAACTTTATAAGCAATTAAAAATACCTGAGGAAACTTTTTAATGAGAAAAAATGTGGTTTCAGAATAATGCTTAGATTGTCAGGGGCACCTTCTATGAATCAGGTGCCCTTGTTTGCATATAAATAAATGGTGATCCATCAGTGTCTTGCATTAACTCTTCCTGTCGGTGGAACAAAGTGCTCACAGTCTAACAGAATGGACACTGGAGTTGCATTCTGTGACACGGGGGCCTCTGACACTTAAATGAAGATGGAAAGGTTAGCAATAACTGGGTATCAATTAGAATTTAAGAATTCTATATGTTTACATTTTTTAATGTGCATCTTTATCCGGTGGGCTTCCCATGTGGAAACTTGCACTATAACGAATTAAGAAGAATATTGCCTTGTTATATCTCAGTTCAAGTGCTTGTACTGCGATGGCAATGGCCTCTTCTTGCAAAATACTGATTTGTGTGCCAATTTGTTTGAAATTATTTGAAGGCAGTTCCGCTTAATCTCAGGGTCCTCTTTCTTGGGTAGTTGAGATGGATTCTTAATATTGGGAGGGGGTGTACCTTTAAATGACAGAATTGTCAAAAATCGGGAAAGATTGGCCCTCGGGCTACATGGACAGTTAAGCTTAAGTAACAAACTATCTTGATTAGTATTAAACACAAGAGGTTTAATTGGAAAAATTGAAGATAAAAAATAAACATGAGCACAAATCAGGGGGAAAGTGGATAAAGGTTTTGAATTTGATGTATTGCTATATTCACTATCCATGAGGGTAAAATGAATAACATGAATAAAATGTCATTATTTTCCTTAAATACTTAAGTATTTAATTTTGAACACCGGTCTTAAAGCATGTCTAGTTAGTGATGTGATTAAAATTATCTGAGAAATGAACTCTGGCATCGTATACTTTGTGCTTATGCGCTATAGTAGGCTCACCTTCATTGAGGTGGTCTTTTATAACTGCGCTTTTATAACTTTGAACTTGGCTCCTGCAGAACCCTGGTCTTCTGAACAGTGGCCCAAGGGGGTTTGCTGCTTAAATCAGATAATGGCATATTCACAAGGAAAAAAAAAAGCGAAGGGATAGAATTTCTCAGTATTAATTTTTCTTTCGTGAAATATTATTACGCCTTTGACCTTTGCTGCCCCTCTTCTATAGCAGCATATGTGAGATGTCTGTCCAGCAGAACATTAGTTATTTTAACTATCTTAATTTTAATATAACAGTACTTTGAGATATATCAAGAAGTATCTGACACTTGAGAATATCTGTTCTAAAGGGATGATATATATTTAGAAATGAAGACTTTACAGTACATTTTCATCTAATAGGCCAATAATTTGGGGGCAGAGCTTTCGAGCAGTAAAATTTTAGCTTGACTGAGGATTATATATTTGTTCATCATTTTAAAGCACTCTGAAGTCAATAATTTGTAGAAGGCCAACTCCAACTTTGATAATACACAAAAATCTCTACCATCTGTGTTAGGTAGCAATTAATTTGGGGGAGAATCTTTTTGTTTTGCCATAAAGGCCTATTAATGAAGACTACTTCAAGTAGAGTTAGTAGCTATGGCTTACCTACCTAGCCTGTTAAATGCGTCTGTGTGTGTTTATGTAACCTTATACCAGTAATCCTAGTAGAGACTACTTCTGGTACCAGAGAGGCTTACTGTAGGCAGGTTGGCTCCTCTGTGATAGTTGTGCTAGTCTAGTTAGTCATGTGCCTAGATTTGATTCCTAGAAATGTAGTTTTTAAAATTGTTTTTTCTCTTGCTGAGGGAAAACTTGCTACTTCATTGATTTGCATGCCATAAGAGCTTCATATTGGTTACCATTACACATCTAACAAAATTCAGAAGCAAAAATCTTGGGCTTTTCATACCCCAGATATGCCATGCTTTTAATAAGCTTTAAGTCTGTATAATGACATACATCATATGTTTGGGGTGTGGATTTGAGTATGTGAATATCAGTTGGCCAACAAATGTTAGGGCATCCACAAATGAGACTATACACTAAGTGTAGACAGGGACTGAGTCATAAGTTTATAATCAAGTGTTGTTTAAAACATGTTCTCAGAATTCTTAAACTCAAACTTAATTTTATTTGGTATTCCTTTCTTTATCCCGAGCCTGAAATGAGCCAAGAGAAATAACAGATGATTTTAGAAAGTACTGGTAGCATGTGTGTGGTTTCTGACTTCTGGGATGGCATCATTTTATACTAGTCTCAAAATTTGCCTTTTGAAATTTTCAGTTTCAGGAGATAACATTTTACACTTATAGTTTTTAAATTATGAGCATTGTGAATCCATATACTCGGGATATTTCTGTTGAACTTGATTCTGCATCTCATGAAACTAATAAGCCTGCACCTGAGTAGAAGGGGAGGTAAATTCTTCGGTCTTACTGACGATCCTCACCCTCCTTCAGTCCAGGTAATTTTACTTGGTTTTTCTTTTTTCATAAAGCATCCTTAAGCTATTGCTAAGTTTATTGCTGTAAACAATCCTCATGACTTTACAGATAGAACTATAAACAATGATTTCCTGTACTCAGAGTATAGACCTAACGAAAACTTTTACATTTCCACCATTATCTAGGGTTTACCCAAAAGTCTACACCAAAGATGTAGAGACAATGTGCTTTTTGCTTATGCTTAACTGTCCATTTTTTTTAAACAAATATAAGAAGGCCAGGGATATATATATCATATATGTATGATATGTATATATATCAATGCATAAATATGAATATTAAAAGGAAAAGAAAGTGAATATATCTAATTTTACATGAAATTAAGTATCTGGGGTTAGTAGGAAAATGTAAAAAGAAGAGGATACCAAGAGCTTAAGCTGGACTAGCCTTATTTGCAAGTGAAGGATCTGGTGCTGCTTTCAGATGTTTATTCTTTGTGTTTTTAAATTTTTTTCTTAAGCTTTAATCTTTGTTATTGTCTTAAAGTCAGCTGGTGTTTCTTGTTCATGGACTTTGGTACGATGGTGCTTTGCAAGGATGTATTTATATTTAAATGGCCAACATTTGGTCAGCCCTTGTCCACTATTCACTTCCCCCTTTTTGTAAAATAAGTGCTTTAATTATAAGCTGTATAAAAATACCTTGTATAAATCCCCTTTTGATTATTACAATAAGCTGAGTTGTAACAAATGAAATGTTGATTTTTATAATAAAACAGTGGAAAATAAAAGTGTCAATTCTTTTCAGCAAGAAATTGAAATAGCTGATTGTTCATTGCTGTGACTTGCATTTCAGAGGCAACAAAACCCACTTTTATTGTTTGTATTTCAAATAAAATACAACTTTGGAAGAGAGATTTGAGCATAGTTCAGTGCTGCCCATACCTGTGATTGGGAACAGATAATAAGGGAAATATTTTGTGTTTCCTGCTCTTGTTTTCAGTAAACTCCTGGAAGGAGCCTGCTGTAGACTCTGAACCTCCCCCCTCTCGAAATTAGCTTTAAAAATGAACATTGCTCTTCCTGACACAAAGCCCAATATGATACGAGGATACCGAAGGAGCCGCAGAATATACCCCTTCAAAATACGCCACTGTGATTCAGGTGGGCACTTTAAAAACAGCAACTACAGATAGAGGCTTTCTCTGAGCTCCCCTTGTCTGTCTAAAGACCGATCCTCCAAAAGGAACACAGTTGTCATAAACCATAAATCCCCTCCCTGGGAGCTTGATCAACCAGGGAAAAATGATTCTTATCCCTGGAGAGAAGACTAGGAAAAATAGCCAAACTTCGTCCCGACTCTCACACCTCCCACCTATTCTTCTAAGGACCCATTCATCTTTCCTAAAATCACTTCCTACTTATTCTTCCCTAAGAGGCCTACATCTTCCCTCCCCTTTTCCCATTCATACGGTAGGTAAGCCTGAATTATAAGCCATCTAGGGGAGTTTCTCACTTTTCCCTGGGTATCTCCCATGTATATGTAAGTTAATAAGTGTTATTTTCTGCCTGTTTTGTTCATCTGTTTCTTATTACAAGGGTCTCAGCTAAGAGCAGAAGGGTAGACAAAGTTACTATTCTCCCCTACAACATTTAACATGAGGGTGAATGGAAAAACCAGTGAGAACTCACAGCTACTAGATCCCTGCTTGGGTCTAAGTTTGCTGGTTTGATAGGAAGAGAGGAAAGCTTTATTATTTGGCATTAGGTAAGCTCAAACATCAGGGGGTTAAGTGGAACAAATGTTAGTGTAAAGTCTTCTCTCTGAGACTCTTTCTCTGAAGTGAGCTTACCTTGACTTCTTTGCTGACCCCTCCCATTCTTTTCTTTGGAAAACAAAGTTGTGCTGTTCCCAGTGGAGTCCAAGAAAGGAAAGACAGAACCGAGGTTGCTTTGCCTGATTTAAAGGCAGGCTCAAGAGTGGGAAGGACAGTGCAAGTTGTTTTGGACTTTTCTCTACCCAGGTAAGTTTTCTGCTAAGTTAATACGTACAGTCTTTCTTACTTTTAATTCTTTGTGTACAGTTGCAGTATTTCTGCAAATGTCAATTAAAGGATGAATTACTGTTGACAGGGTCCGGGACATGATACCCCAAAATGCGACACATTAGCATAGTGAGTATTTCAAGGAATTCGAGAAATGGCATGTGTAGGAAGAACCCTCTGACCTTTCCCTGAAGCAGGTCGTTAACCCTAATGTGAGAAGTGCCCTCCCTGTACACAGAGGTAAGGGGGCATCCTTATCTTGGAAGAGAAAGGAACAAAAAGGAACCTGAACAAACAGGCCTTGCTAAGTTTGCCCCCATTTATTACACATAGCTCATACTCTTTGTTCTATCATATCTTTCCATGACTTTGCGGTTCTCATCAAACCTAGCATAAAACACAGGTTTAACCATTTCTTTGGGTTTTCATTTCTTTATGAGGGCTCCTGTGTCACTTAAAACTTAAAAGACATTTGTATGCTTTTCTCTTGTTAATCTCTTATGTTACAGGGATCCAACTCAAGAACTTAGAAGATACTTTCCCTTTCTTACAATGTGCTCTGATTTCTGGTTCCATTTATTTGTACTACCATGCCGTCTTCTAACACCACCGACCCCACCACCACCTGTCCCCCCACCCCAAAAATTCTCCGCCCAAGGTTTGCATTTGTAACTTCAGCTTTCATCACCATATAAAGCCAATCTTTCCCAATTAAGAGACTAAAAATAAAGGATTATTTTGCTAAGATTTGTCCAGCATTTACTGTTGCACCAAGTACTAAATATCCCCTCTGTCTCCCCCTTTACGTAATAAACCAACCGATTAACACCTAAGCTAGACAGGAAACGTCCAGTTTGAGTATGAAAAACTCCAGTGCAAAATTTTGATCAGAGGCAGTTGGCAGTGGGTGGAGGGAAAAGGACATTAAATTACGATTGAGATTCTAATCTTTGTTCCATTTTAATTAACTGCCAAGGCATGCCTGAACTCATTTAATCTCTCCGTATTTGTTGGCATAAGGCTCTGACAGAGTTTTCCCAAGTTCTTGGGAAGGACTTGGGAAGGGTTAAGGGAATCAAGTTTTATACAGTGCTGTGATTCTCATGACAGGGCTTTTAAGAATTCAATGTAGGTCTGGAGCTATTTATATTTTCTATTATGTCAATTTTTGTCATTTATGTCTTTCAAGGAATTTGTCCATTTCCTCTTAAGTAGTCAGCTTATTGGCATAAAAGCGTCTCTTATCCTTTCAATGCCTGTTTCCATTTCTGACATTGGTAATTTGTGTCTTGGTCAGTCAAACTGAAGGTGTATTGATATTCTTGATCTTTAAAAAAAAAAAAAAAAAAATCAGCTCTGGAGCGCCTGGGTGGCTCAGTCGGTAAAATGTCCCACTCTTTATTTTGGCTCAGGTCATGAACTCAAGGTTCGTGAGACCGAGCCCTGCGTCACTGGACTGTGTGCTGGGCATGGAGCCTGCCCCTCTGCTGCTTGCACTCTCTCTCTAAAAAATAATAACAATTTTTTTAAAAATCAGCTCTTGTTCTAATTCTTCTCTGTTGTATGTTCATTTTCTGTTTCATTGTTGTCTGCTCATTATTTCCTTCCTTTAACTTATTTGGATTAAATATGCTAGTTGCTTAAGATAAAAGCTTAAGTCACTGATTTTAGACATTTTTTTCTGATAAAAATATTTAAAGCTGTATGTTTCTCTCTATGCATGCTTTAGCCGCATCCCACAAATCTTGGTGTTTTCATTATCATTCAGTTCAAAACACTTTCTAATTTCACTTGTAATTTCTTTGAACCCTAGATTACATAAAAGCATGTTTAATTTCTAAATATTTGGGGATTTTCCAGATACCATTTTGTTATTTTTAGATTTAATTCCATAATGATCATAGGTCCTCTGTATGAGTTTAACTCTTTAAAGTTTATTGAGACTTGTTTTACCAGCCAGACTACGGTCTATCACAGTGCATGTTTTATGGGCACTTGAGTACTATTAAAAACGAAAATCACAGTTCCAAAATGGAGTCACTTATGCTAGGCCACATCAACAAACCAGGGTGTAATGCTTAACCTAATTGCAGTTTCAACCTCCCCCAGAAATGTAGTCTTAACCTGTCAGGAATTTTCTAGGCAGCACCAGTAAGGTAATGTGTCACATGGGCCCTCTGCATTCCCCAAAGGAAGGACTTCACCCGAAAGAATCCTTTTTTCTGTTTATGACTTCCTTGTCCTGCCTTTAAGAACCTTTCCTTTCTGTAGCCCTTTGGAGCTCCCCTCTACTCGGTACAGAGGATGCTGCCAATTCATGAATTGTTCAGTAAAGCCAATTAGATCTTTAAAATGTACTTGGGGGGCGCCTGGGTGGCTCAGTCGGTTGAGCGGCCGACTTCGGCTCGCTTCATGATCTCGTGGTCCGTGAGTTTGAGCCCCGCATCAGGCTCTGTGCTGACGGCTCAGAGTCTGGAGCCTGTTTCCGATTCTGTGTCTCCCTCTCTCTGACCCTCCCCCGTTCATGCTCTGTCTCTCTCTGTCTCAAAAATAAATAAACGTTAAAAAAAAAATTTTTTTTTTTTAATGTACTTGGTTGAAAAAAAAAAGATAAAACTTACTTGGTTGAATTTTTTCTTATTTAACTATAGTATGCTGTAGTTGCATACAGTGTTCAGTAAAGGTCAGTTAGGTCAGTTTGGTTTATACTGTCGTTCAAGTCTTCTATATCTTTGCTGATTTTCTATTCAGTTCTCCTGGGAGAAAAGTGTGGAAATCAACTTTAATTGTGGATTTGTCTATTTCCCCTTTTAGTTTTGTCAATTTTTGCTTTGAGCTCTGCATAATTTAGGATTATTGTTGTAATAATTCACCTTTTTATTGTTATGTAATGTCCCTCTTTGCCTCCATATTCCTTGACTTGAAGTCCACTTTGATATTAATATACCCATTCCAGCTTTCTGACTAGTTTTGCATTCATTTTTCTATTCTTTTACTTTTAAACATTTTTTTAATGTTTTTTATTTATTTTTGAGACAGAGAGAGACAGAGCATGAATGGGGGAGGGGCAGAGAGAGAGGGAGACACAGAATCAGAAGCAGGCTCCAGGCTCTGAGCCATCAGCCCAGAGCCTGACGCGGGGCTCGAACTCACGGACCGCAAGATCGTGACCCGAGCCGAAGTTGGACGCTTAACCAACTGAGCCACCCAGGCGCCCCTATTCTTTTACTTTTAACCTCTCTCTCTTTCATGTTTAGACATAAAATATGTAGTTTGGTCTTCATTTTTATCAATACTATTTCTGCATTTTAATGGCACTATTTAGCCATTTCCATTTAATGCAATTATTGCTGATTTGATTTGTCTACCATTTTGATATTTTCTCTTTGTCCCAACTATTCCTTCTTTTTACTCTTCTCTGGCCATCTTTGGAAGAGTATGTTTCAGGATTCCATTTTATTTCTACTATTGGCTTACTAGCTATGCTCATGTAGTCATCGCTGTACGATTTACAGTATGCATCTTTAACTTGCTGTAGTCTACATGAAATAATGCACCACTTTGCATATAATATGAAACCTTACAACAGTCTCTTTTCATTTTTCCCTTCTAGTCTTTTATGTTTTATTGTCATACATGTTCTGCATGTTATGTCATGAGACATTGTTTTTGCTTTAATCAATTTTCTTTTTTAAAATTTAAAGATGAGAAAAATATTTTTATTTACCTTCATATTATTCTTTGGTGCTCTTCATTCCTTTTTATAGATCTGGGTTTCTAATACAGTTTTCCTTCTGGCTGAAGAAATTTCCTTCAGCATATCTTACAATGTTGATCTAATCATGGTACATTGTGCCTTTGATTGTCTGAAATGTTGCCATGTTGTCTTAAGAAAATTTATGACAGCTTTATTGAGGTATAATTGACATACAATAAACTGCATGTATTTGAAGTATGCAGTAATTAATTTTGTGTTTTTATATACACACAAAATAGTAAGACAAGGTAACAACAGTTCTATCACCCCAAAATGCTCATGCCCCTCTATAATTCCTTCTTTCCATCCCTCCGTTCCAGGCAACCAATGACCTGTTTTCTGTCACAATAAATTAATTGCATTTTCTATAATTTTATATAAGTATATATGTAGTGTATGATTTTTTTTTGGTTTTGGTTGAGCTTCTTAGAGATTCATTCATATGCATGTTACAGCATATACTGATAGTTTATTCTTTATATATATATATAATATACATATTATATACATATATTCATATATATATGAATAGTATCTCATTGTATGGTATACCACAATTTGCTTATCCATTCATCTGTTGATGAACATTTGGGTTGTTTTCCATTTAGGGCTTTCACAAATATAGTTACTATATTTGTACTTTATTGTTTTAAATGTTTTTATTTATTTTTGAAAGAGAGACAGAGACAGAGCATGAGCCAGGGAGGAGCAGAGAGAGAGGGAGACACAGAATCCAAAGCAGGCTCCAGGCTCTAAGCTGTCAGCACAGAGCCGATGTGGGGCTCAAACTCACAAACTGTGAGATCATGACCTGAACGAAGTCAGAGGCTTAACTGACTGAGCCACCCAGGCACCCCTATAGTTACTATATTTGGTACAAGCTTTAAACCAATTAATTTCTTTTGAATAAATTCCTTTTTTTTTTTTAAGTTTTTTTTTTTTTTTTACGTTTATTTCTTTTTGACAGACAGAGAGAGTGCGAGCAGGGAAGGGGCAGAGAGAGAGGGAGACACAGAATCCGAAGTAGCCTCCAGGCTCTGAGCTGTCAGCACAGAGCCTGACATGGGCTCGAACTCACAAACTCCAAGATCATGACCTGAGCTGAAGTTGGACGCTTAACTGACTGAGCCACCCAGGCGCCCCTATAGTTACTGTATTTGGTACAAATTTTAGACCAATTCATTTCTTTTGAATAAATTCCTAAGAATGAAATGGTTGGGTCATCTGGTAGATGTTAAACTTTTAAAGAAACTATGGAAGGGAAGGAAAAATAAGATACAAACAGGGAAGCAAACCATAAGAGACTCTTAAATACACAGAACAAACTGAGGGCTGATGGGGGTGGGGGTTGGGGGCGGGGAAAATGGGTGATGGACATTGAGGAGGGCACTTGTCGGGATGAGCACTGGGTGTTGTATGTAAGTGATGAATCATGGGAATCTACTCCTGAAGCCAAGACTACACTGTATATTAGCTAACTTGACAATAAGTAAAATAAAAGCAAGAGAAAGAGATGCAATCCTATACTCCCTCCCCCCCCAAAAAAAAAACAAAAGAAAAGAAAAAGGAACTGCTTAAAATGTTTTCCATTTTGGAAATGTTAAGTTTGCATTCTAGTTTTTTAAATGTTTTAACTTATTTATTTTGAGAGAGAGAGAGAGAGTGAGTGCACGTGTGAGTGGGAAGGAGGGACAGAGAGAGAAGAGAGAGAGAATCCCAAGCAGGCTCCCTGCTATCCATGCTCCATCTCATGAACTGCAAGATCATGACCTGAGCTGAAATCAAGAGTCAGAGGCTTAACCGACTGAGCCACCCAGGTGCACCTACATTCTATTTTTCTTGAGTGAGCTTTGGTAGTGTGTCTTTTAAGAAATTTGTCCATTTCATCTAAGTTGTTGAATTTTTGGTATATGATATTCTCTTATTATCCTTTTAATATCTGTAGAACCTATAGTGATGTTCCCTCTGTTTATTATTGGTAAGTTGTG